AGCCCCTAATAAAATGTTAAAAAAAAAAAGACCTCAATGTGCATTTACAACCACAAAATTCTCTCGAACAACAAGCAGTAGAAACAATGACAGGTTTAACTTTCAACAATGGATTATCTAAATGGATAACAAAGGCACACGTAGTAAAAGACAAAAATAGTAAATGGTTCTCTCATAAAAATGTTGAAATGTGTTCATTAAAAGATTTTACCAAAGAAAAAAGTGAAAAGACAAGCTGAAAGAATATCTTCAAAAATATCTGATTAGACTGTAACAAGCAAAATAAAGAGAGCTGGAATAGTTAAAAAAGAGACCAACGAGAAATCATAAATGAGCAAATATTTGAAGATATTTCACTAAAGACATTCAAATGGCTACTAAACCCATAAAAAGATGCTTAGCATGATTAGCCACCAGAGATGCAAGTCTGAAACACAAAGATAACATTTCACTCCCACTTTGATGGGTACTAAAAAAAGAAAAACATTAGTGAAATATAGAGAAATAGATACCCGTTTATATTTCTGATAGGAATGCAAAATGGTAGCAAGACATTGTGGACAATATTGTGGCCATTTCTCATGCAAAAAAAACCACAATTAAAATATGGTCCAGCAATTCCACTCCTGAGTGTAAATACCAAAGACTTGAGAGTAAAGAGTCAAGCGGAGACCTGTATAACACATGCTCGCCCTAGCACTGTTCACAACAGCCAAAGGTAGAAACCACCTCTATGCCCAACAAGACTAATGGATAAACAAAAAGGTAGGACATACATACGCAATGGTATAGTACTCAAATCAGTAGGAATGACATAAGCCAAAAAGGACACTGGAATGAAAAGACAAGTAAAACTGCACAGCAGATTATTATAATTGCCGTCATTATGCTGTACACTCTCCCCCCAAAATGTGATAGATATTTATGATGATAAAAAAAGAGCTGCAACTCTATGTACAACCAACCATCCTATGAGATTTGGTTTGGATGTTTTGGGTGATGATTTCACAGGATAGCTCAGTTAACTTCCCTAATAACATGTGTAGTGCTTCTGTTCTTCCTTCTATTTCGTTGTATAATGCCCAGAGATTAAAATGTTGCAAGGTGCCCGTCAAGGCACAACACTTGGTCTCTGGTTAGGTGGAAAAACAGAGGAAGGGCTGTTAGAAGTACGAGGATGTGTGACTAACAACTTCCATGAACAACTGCTTCCTTTGCCATAAGTCCAAAATAAGTTTTTGTTGCTTGGCTACCATTACTGAACATTTTGATAAAAGAGTCCATTTAAGAATACTGGTCAAAAGGGGAAACTGTGTAAAACTTTTCAAATTATCATGAACTCTAGACTTTGTAAAACCATAGATGGTGGATAAACCACAGAAACTATTGGCCTGAGATAATCTTTGTACCTTAAACCAAAAATATTCCCTGAAATCACCTTAAAACATAATAGCTGTTTACCCTCCCGTATAAAAAAACAACAACTGCCTCGAGCTTATTGCTCTTTCAAAAACGATCAACGTGACAGCAAATTGACAATAAAAACTTACAAAACGAAGCATAAACCTTAGGGGGCGGTGAGCTTGTAGTAATGAGGGAGGAAAAACTGCAGAAAATTTTATCATCCATGTCACTAAACTATACAGGTAGAAACTGTTGAATTGGTATATCCTTTGCTGTAAATAATCTCAACAAAGAAATGTATTTCAGGGGAAAAATCTGGAGAGATAATTTTATATTTATAAAAGACAATACACAAACTAGACTTGTACTTATACTGTTACACTCCTAAACTTTTAAATGCTTATTTTTTAATTAATTGAATTTTAGTTTTATTTAAAAAGAACATTTTATACTTGAGTCTTTTGAGCATAATTGGATGTAAAACATGTGTCTCTTCTAATCTATCCCCAAACTTCCTCTAAGAACTTCACTAAGGGATTAAAAGAGGATGCTAAAATGTTCGCTTCACATATTAATTTTATTTTTAAGAATATATTCTTACAAACATCCTATATATTGTGGTATTATGAAAGTAATGTACAGAATAATCAGTAACACAGTAACACATTATACATTTCATTGACTCATTTGTGTTCAATTTACTGGAGCATATTCCAATTTCAAGAACAAGTATTAGAAGGGTATTTAGAGTACACATTATTGTATTATTACTTCGCCTGAAAAGCTACCTTCTCCCTCCCTCACCCAAAAAGTCTGTGAAGTAGCATGATTTTTCTGTTTATGAGCAGAATATTATTATTATTAAAGACAGAAGTACATAAGGACTCTCATCACACAAAACCCTAAAAGATAAAGTGATTTTCCTGAGCTAAGTACATTACAAAGTAGAGAGCATACCTTTGATGTCGCCTGCTTTAGTTTTGCTTGTTCCACCAGAAGTTTATATGACGATCCTTTGTTACTTTGTGTTTTTTCTTTTTCCATCTGTTCTACCAACGCCTTCTGTTTAGCTTTTAGTAAGTTAAGTTGCTTAAAAATTTAAAAAGTTAATAAAAGATATTAACCAATTATTATATAAAAATGAGAATTTCCTGAAAACATACAAAAATTTGGGCTGATTCTGTGATACCTCATAAAAAAAAACAGAACAAAACTTAACCTACGTTAAAAAATAAAAAGTAAACCATGACACTCATTCAAACTCAGGAGACAAGCGCTGGTGGCAGAGTGGTGACACACTGGGGTGCTACGTGCGCAGCCAGTAGTGTGAAACCACCACCGGCTCTGCGGGAGACACCCGTTCTATTCCTGTAAAAAATCAGTCTCAGAAATTCAGAGGCCCAGTTCTAACCAGTCTGACCAGGCTCTCTGTAGTCAGAATTGTCTCTATGGCTGTAATTGAAATTCGATGCACTAAGTTTCACAGATGAGTCTGAAAAACATTATTTTGAGCAAAGTCAAACACAAAGGACTATATACTTTATAGTCCTTTATTTAAAATACTTTAAAAATACTTTTATTGGGGGCTCTTACATCTCCTATCACAATCCTTACATTCATCCAGTGTGTCAAGCACAATTACACATATGCTGCCATCATTTTCAAAGCATTCTCTTCCCACTTGAGCCCGATATCAGCTCCCCACTTCTTCCCCCTTCCTGCCCCCCTCATGAACCTTGATTAAGTTATAGATTATTATTTCCTTATCTTACATCGTCCTCTGTCGCCCCTCACCCACTTTTTCATTATTCATCGCCCTGAGAGGGGGGGTCTGGGTTGATCCTTGCAATCGATTCCCACTTTCTCCCCTCACCCTCCCCTAATCCTCCTGCTATCTATACTCTTCTTGTTGGTCCTGAGGGGTTTACCCACCCTGGATTCCCTGTGTAGCGGGCTCTTAGCAGTGTGCATACTCTGGTCTAATCCAATTTGTAAGGTAGAATTGAGGTCATGATAGTGGGGGGAAGGAAGCACCAAGGACTTGGGGGAAGTTGTGTGTTTCATCGGTGCTATACTGCACCCTGACTGGCTCATCTCTACCCTGTGACCCCTCTTTGAGGGGATGTCCAACTGTCTACAGATGGGCATTGGGTCTCCACTCTATGGCCCTCCCCCTATTCACCGTGGGTATAATTTTGTTCTGGGTCTTAGAGATGCCTGATACCGGATCCCATCGACACCTCGTAATCACACAGGCTGATGTGCTTCTTCCATGTGGGTTTTGCTGCTTCTCAGCTAGATGGTCGCTTGTTTATCTTCAAGCCTTTAAGACCCCAGACGCAATCTCTTTGGATAGCTGGGCACCATCAGCTTTCTTCACCACATTTGCTTATGCACCCATTTTGTCTTCAGCAATCGTGTCAGGAAGGTGAGCATCACAGAATGCCGGATTGGTAGAACAAAGTGTTCTCGTGCTGAGGGAGTACTTTGATTCGAGGCCCAATCAAAGGACTAAATATTATGTAATTCCTAACACAATACTTCAAAAATCATTTCTATACAGTGAGATATACAAAACTGAACAACTGAACTCACTGCCATCAACTTGATTCTGACTCATAACAAACTGTAGGATAGTATAGAACTGTCCATGGGTTTCTGAGACTGTAAATCTTGAGGGGAGTAGAAAGCCTTTCTCCTTAGGAGCTACTAGTGGTTTCAAACTACTGATACTGTGGTCAGCAGCATAACATGGAACTCACAACACCAGAGAAAACAAGGTCAGAGGATCTCTCCAAGAGAAAAATTATGAGTGGAAGAAAGCAGAAGGACTGCCCTAATTTAAAAATCAGGAAAGTCCTTGCTTAAGAATTGATAGGATTGAAGGCACAAAACCAAGTTAGGTTAGTTAGCCAGGTAAAAGAATTCCAAAATTGCCTGAAAGGTGAGTCATGGGTAAATCATGGATATGTTAAAAGTGTTATTAAGGTGTTTGACTTTCATCCAAAAGTCAACTAAACGCCACTAAGGATGTTTTAAAAGGGCGTGAGTACAGTCAGGTTTGTATTTAAGAACAGCTCTCTACCAACAGCATGGATTAGATGAGGAAAAACACAGGCACAGTGGCCTTTTGATACAGTCATCTTTTAGAATAGTAGTCATCAAGATCGAACAAGATAAACCACGTAAACAACATCTACAAAATTGGTAAGCTACACACTGTCACCATTTTACAAATAGGGAAACTCAGTGACAAAAGTGATAAGGATATTTTCCCAAGGTACGTAAATACTTTGTGGAATGTCCTATCTTAGATTTGATGATAAATGTATCTCATGTAACTTCCAAACAATACCCGCAGATGTTAAAATAAATAATATCTTGACAATTACCTGTTTATGATGAACAAGCTGCTTTCTGATTTTTCTGGAATATAATCTATCAAGGCTGCTTCCACCTTTGGAAGACCGATTCCAGCTCTGAGTATGCAGACTATTGTTAATAAAACTCCACTGATTGCCTGTACGGTGAACAACAATATTATGAGCAGTTCTGCTATGTGAGATTTTAAAATACCTCTCACATCCAGAAAATGCTAAACTATAAATAGGTCAATTACGACAATGCAACTTTAAGGAAATCATTAAAAAAGAACTATCAGGAGACATGAACCCTAGTAAGCAACAGCCACTGGTCTGAGAGAGAACTTAAATGACTTAGGACCAGGCTTTTCTTGTGGGTAATCTTTCCTTCACAGTAATAGTGACCACCCTCCCTAATGGCTTAATCTTTGCACAATACCATTTTCGAAATATCACTAACTCTAAGCAACAACAAATACTAATTCAAACTAACCTTTGGCAAGGACTAAAGAAAAAAAATACAATCAATCATTTATTTGAATGACTTAAGTAAGCTAGTACATTTCAAACACGCTGGCATTTAGCTGTCCCTGGTCTCATGTTGCATTCTATGAAGATTATAAGTGCAAAAATGAGACTGTTAAGTCTGATTCTACCCACTTCTAATTATTTGTTCATGTTGGCTTAATCTAAAAACATGTTATGCATTACCCTCCATTTGTCAAATCTTAATTAAAAATCTCTAAGCCCTAAAAATAAAAAAATCTTCCACCAGTATGTTATATCTGGAAAATATAAATGAACACCAAGATTTCAAATATTTTCAAGTCTTTTAAATATGTGTTCAAAGATTTCAAAGATGTGTTCATAGAAAAAAATGTTCGAACAGAAAATGAAAATTTCCATAAACTATTTGAAGTCCCCTTGTGGTTAATTCGAATTCTATATCTAATCTGTATAAGCTTACACTTCAATACTCTGACCATAACTATGTAATATTTATAAAAATAATTCAAGAGAAATCAGACTTCCTGTAAGAAGACTTTGCCACCATCTTCTAAACATAATATAACATCTCACAGGGATTTTTTCTTTTATGTGAAATGGGAAAATATGCAGAATCCCATTGGGGTGGTGGTGATGCTGATAAATTGCTCCATTTATAAATTTGATTTAGTCATCATTTATTAAATTGCTAATTGGGAAGATAAAAAAGCAGGAAAAAGTTTCCTACTTGATGTCCTTTAATTTTTAAAAATCTCAAAGGTTCCGGTCCATATAGAAACAAAACTCAGAAAATTACTATAACTGGGAAAGTATGGAGATTTCTTTATCTAAATTAATGGTCATTTTAGTGAATTACAACTAGGTGGGCATAATGATACACAAAAATACACAGCTTATTGACACAATAAAAAATTGCAGAACTTTCACAAATTTCCCTCTCCCATCTTTCTCTATGTTGTTTTTTAGTAGTTAAATGACCGTGGGGAAAACAACCTTGTGAAAGACATGATTATACTTAGAACCAAAATCATGTCAAGACAAAGTTGTTGTCAGTTTCTCCCCCCCCACCCCCCCAAAAAAAAATAAATAAATAATGCCCTTAAAGATTCCTGGAGCAGTTAATTCAGATTTTCCATAAATTACATACAGCTGGACTCTCCAGGTCAATAGTCAGTTCTGGAACAACTGTGCAGTCATTCTTACTATCCCCACCAAGGCGTTAGTATAAACTTCGGATACCTGTCAGACACCTCTCCCTGTCTTTACCATTCAAAGGTTTCTTGGCCGCTGCTGCTTCATCTTCAACTGTTGCCACATAATCCAGCAATCTGGACACCAGCATAACAACCCAACTGATCATGGGAATATCTAATACTCCTACGTAAGAGCAAAGGAAAATATACTATGAAAGTACTAATAACACTGGTGTATGTTATTTTCATAACTATGAAAGGAAACATTTTATAATGCTAAAACAACATAATTACGAACACTAATGTTTCCTCATAATAAGCCACCAAACGAGAAGTCTTTTCCACAAAAATACTGGCAGAGTAAATCTGATCAAAGAAGAATACCCTGCAGATATTGTAACAAGTTCTTAAATACAGTTCAAAACCAACTGATAATTCATAAACTTGAAAATAAGGTATAAGACGCTGATGCACAGACTCACTGACATTTGAAATATCAAATTCTCAGCATATTCTCCATATGGCATTAAATTACATTGCAATGTTTCATACATATAATAATTTTTATATCAAATAAACCCCTCATTACTAACCTACACACCAACTCTTTTTACGGGTAAACTAATGTAATAGTTTATCTTCAATTATAGTAGTAAAAAAATTGTAATACAACAATTTTCTAGTTCAAACTACATACAATACAAAAAATAGTTTTTTAAAACAACAAATATCTGAAAATTTTAAGTAGATAACATGAAGGACAGCTAGGCGCCCTTAAAAATGCCTACATCACAAAAAATTATGAAATATTAAGTAATTAATATTAAAATAATATTAGAGTAGGTATTTTATAAAAGTACTACACAGGCATTTAACGTCTTCATTAAAGATCGTTGTTTTAAATACCTTCTGTCCTCCTATGCATGGGTAGCTGTGGCTGAAGAGGTGACAATAAATTATCCAGGAGATTAAGTAGGCTTTCTAATACGCCACTATTACTAAGTGATCTTTGACCAATGCATGAAAGTAACATGAAGACCCTTAAAAAAGAAAAAAAGATAAAAACTAAATAACCAGTAACCACCAGTTTAACAGAGCGATTTAAAATATAATTCACAATGAAATTTATTAACATAATGACTGGATTTTTTTTTTCAGGTTGGGTAAACAAGTTTTACATCTGGTGGTGTGGTCTCAAAACTACTTTTCTAGCTACTTGTTGTTTCTAACTTTAGTCATAAGAATTCAGAAATGTAGAGATGGCTAAAAAAAGTAAGTCTTAGTTTCAAAAAATTATATTTAACTTACAAATAGCATCACTTGCTAAGAGTGAATTGGTAACACATCTATAAACTCCCCAGGTTAAATGAAACGACTAAGGAATGTAGTCTAGTAACACTGTGCTAAGCTTCACACAACACTACTGCCCTTACTAGGTGTTTCACAGTCAGTATCCACCCTAAGCAAGATTTCAAAAATCCATCCATCAAAATCTAAGACATACAAATCACTATTAGCAAATAACGCTAATATTTTCTGACTTACCTATCCTGTGGAAAGATGAGAAGCTGCTCTGAATTGTATAATTCCTGAAGAACATTAGAAAGAAATTGACCCCACCATCTTTCACCCCCACATAGTTGAACAAGTAGAAGACCGGTATGTAACCGTATCTTTGGGGTTCCACTGATGCACAAGTGTTTAAAGAGCTCTTCACAGGCCTGGGCATGAAATGTGCTCTGCAAAACTGCAGGAACAGAGTGTCCTATTACAAGAAAGAAAACAGTAAAATTTCCAATTTAAAGGCATGGTACAATAGAAAAATCACCAATGGCAGGCTTTCTTCTTTACCAATAATTAGCATATTCAAATATATTATGTTTATTTTACTATATGTTTATTAAGTCATATACAGAAACGTAATTATTAAATAGTTGGGGAGGAGAAGAGTTGGCATTTAAGTCAATATTGTTTCTTCTTAAATGGATTTTTGATATTTCTTTTCTTATATTTCTGCTATTAATGTCTTGTTTAATGGTAAAAGGAAAAATTGTCTCAAATTGCTAATGCAATAGAAAATAGTCATTTTTAGCAAGAGATTATTTCTTTTCATTAGAGTAACAGATACACACGTTAGATGGCTATTGAGTATATATGTATGTATGTGTGTGTGTGTGTGTATTTTCTCATGATCAGAAATTGACTTTAAAAAAAAAAAAGAACAGCTAGATTAGGTTAGCAATTTGTGAGACATTTTCATTGTTCATCTGTTAAATAATATTACTTTACAGGGAAAAAAATTATGCATACGCTAATATAAAAAATGCAAGAAAAGAAATAAAAATTCATTTAAGATGAGAAATACGGAAGAAAAAACACGGGTTAACCTACGCACACATTTAGTAAATATTTACATTACAAAAGATATCCAAATTAACAGTGCCCAGATAATATAAAGCCTAAAGCATGCAACAAAAATCACATTAAATATATTCCCAATCTTATTAAGTACTTAAGCTAAATACAAACCATTGGAAGAATGCAGAAGGCTGAGCAAAGTATCCAATAAATATCTGATGATTGTACGTAACTGTTCTGTGGAAGACGTCTGAATGAAATCTTTTGGATCTGATGTTTCACTCAACATCTTCCGACTTGCACCTAGAGCTACTTTGAGCCTCTGAACTGCATTATGAGCCAAATTTAGTTGAAGCTGTAGCTGAATACAATCCTGATAGGCAGAAAAAACTCTACTGTCTTCTTCGACTGCCTTATCTGGCTTTCGCAAAAAGTACTGTGCATTGTTAGCACTGTTGAGAGGAGGAAGATCAATACTTTGCAAAAGAGTCTCTAGTCGATGACAAGCTAAGTTATACCTAAAAGTAAAAAATAAATGCACAAAATAATTCCCAGAATCTTCCCTTGATAGACACGTAAAATTAAACACTATGAATGAACTCTAAAACATATTAACATACAACCCTTAAAAATCATTAATCAGTTGGAAATTAAGTACTATTGTAAAAGAGGCAAATTCTATAAACATATTTTCATTAAACATTATTGTAAAGCTAGTGTCCTACATCCTTCTACTCCTTACATCAATTAAAAGTCACTTCTTGATAGAATTATATGCAAAACATTGACTAGAATATAGGGTTTCAATGATATTAAATTGCATTTGTGATTTTCCACTAACCTGCACTGTATATCCTCTTGCAGAGCAACCATCATAGCTAAATGCTGGTCAATTTCTGGCTGGCTGGCAGATTCCCCTTCTCCCCTTAGAGGATCATGCATTAACTTCAGTTCACTCTCCCATGGCAAGATATAGGTATGGCCATAGTAAAAGCCTAGTGGGATTTTTGCTCTGGCATTTGTGCTTCCATAACGTCCAATGACAGTGATCTGAAATAAATTATTATAAAGACACACACAATTGCTAGAATAAAACTCTCAACAAATTTTTTAAGATACATATATTATGCCTGAATAGTTTTAATATCATGTCAGCAGCATATACAATGTACATTAACCCACTTTCCTGAAGTTCTTTACCTTCATGAATCTGCACACGGGAGGCGGTATTAAGTCATGTAGAATTAGTGAATGGGTGCTGATATCTGTGGCCACTACCAATCGTCTTCCATCCACCTCTTCTCCTAATGTCCAAATATCAATTGACAAGGAGGCCAAATCTCCACAAGTGGGGATCAACACATCTGTTAAGAGTATAGGTCTACCAAAATCTAAGGTCACAAATCTTCTTGCTCCTAATAAATGAGAGAAAGAAGAGAAACATCACAACAGTTGACCAAAAAAATCCTCACTCAATTAACTCTAAAACTTTTGAGTATGTATCTTAAAAGATCAATTTACAAAATTATAAACAAATAAGAGGAAAAACACAAGACTATGTCATTATCAAGCATTTTCAGAGGTGTTTTTTTTTTTTGGTGGGGGGTCACTGTGGATGTTTTTTAAAATTATTTTATTGGGGGCTCGTACAACTCTTTATCACAATCCATACATACATCCATCGTGTCAAGCACATTTGTACATTCATTGCCCTCATCATTCTCAAAACATATGCTTTCTACTTGAGCCCTTGGTATGAGCTCATTCCGCCACGCCCCCCCACCCTTCCCTCCCTTTCCCCCCTCCCTCATTAACCAACTCTTGATAATTTATAACTTATTATTTCATCATATCTTACACTGTCCGACATCTCCCTTCACCCACTTTTCTGTTGTCCATCCCCCAGGGAGGAGGCTATATATAGATCCTTGTAATCAGTTTCCCCTTTGTACCCCACCTTCCCCTCCATCCTCCCGGTATCTCCACTCTCAGCACTGGTCCTGAGGGGATCATCTGTCCTGGATTACCTGTGTTTCCAGTTTGTATTTGTATCGGTGTACACCCTCTGGTCTAGCCAGATTTGTAAGGTAGAATCGAGATCATGATAGTTGAGGGGAGGACGCATTTAGGAACTAGAGGAAAGCTGTATGTTTCATTGGTGCTACACTGCACCCTGACTAGCTCGTCTCCTCCCTGAGACCCTTCTTTAAGGGGGGTGTCCAGTTGCCTACAGATGGGTCTTGGTCTTTCAGAGACCTTATAAGGCCTCAATCTACATTAGTTTTAAATACCAAGACTTATAAATATGCCAGAGTAAGAGTATTAGTGTGAAGGTAGTAATTAATTGTATATGCTTCATACAAAATCTTAGTATAAAAAAATTAAATCCGTTCTTTCAATGCAGTCATTTATTTTTAATCTCACAGCAAGATGCACTAATTATATCAGATTATATCATTTTACTTTTGTGTACTTAAGCCTGGTTTAAAAGAGCCCTGAGATAAGCGTTCAGCTGCTAAGCACAAGGTCAGCTGGTCAAATTCACCAGCCACACCGCTGGGGAAAGGTGAGGCCGTCTAACAAGCATTTACAGTCTAGGAAACTTGTATAGTTTGTTATGAATCAGAAGTGACTCAATGACAGGGTGTTTGATTTTTCTGAATCCTTGTATAACTTCTTTTTAATTTTTATTGTTACTTTTTACAGTTTTATTAGCTCATAGTCCACATATCATACAATTCAATAGTTCAATCATATCAAGAAAATGGAACAATCATTACTCCAATCAATGTTGGAACTTTTTTTTTAATGGTTAAAACGATAGTTCAAGTAGTGAAACAATACACATCAATTATTTAATTTTTCTTATTACTCATTATGTTAGGGTGCAAAATGCTAATAAACCTTATCAGCACCTTTCACAAAAAATACAACTGCTAAGTATATTACTATGGTAAATACACTCTAAGAAAAGAACTCAATGCCACTGAGTTAATTCTGACTGACAGCAAGCCTTCTGGATGAGTTACCAAGACTGTAACTCTATGGGAGTAGACAGCATAACTCTTCATGCTTTCCCTGCCCAGTGGCAGGTGGTACAAAATCACTATGCCACTAGGACTCCACACTTTGACAAATACAGTTATAACTACATGGTATTTTGTTATAGTAACAGTAGGTAACTAAGAAACACACCTACAGAATTTGTTGAATTCTAGTGCTACTCAAGGCCATGACTAACAATTGGTAGACTCTATGGAAGAAACGCCTCTTGTTTATTAAGAAAAAAAAGGCCTGAATCACCATGGCCCAATCAGGCTATGGGGGAACCCTGAGTTATGGACCAACTCAATGGCAGCTATTTGTAAAGGCTCAATCAACTGAAATCACCTATCCCAATCACAGATCTCTAGCCTATATGCACAGTATAATCTTAGATAAAATGTATATTCTATCCAGAGACACTTAAAGATTATTACTCTTAGTCACATAGCTTTATGGCAAGCCGTATTTCTGCCTATTACTGTCAGGAAATCATTCCGCTATCAGAATTATCTTGGGAGCATTTCCTTGAGCAAATAAACTAATGTTATAACTGAGCAGCTACACTGAAGGCAGTTATTTATACCAATCACATTTCAACAAATAAAATGCAGGTTCAGATCAAATCACCTGTTTCAAAAGGATTAGTGGATACACTCAACAGAATTTTTTCCTTCAGCTTGGTGAAAAGATAGCTCTTGACCTATATAATATTCATTCTTGGTAGAATGTCTATACCCAAGAAGAGATGTAACTGATTTGCAAAGAAGATATCAAATGGTAAAATATCAAGTCTTCAAAGCATTTGCTCACTAAACATTAAAAATATTTTGAGAAAATTAGCATTACCTGAGTGCATTCGCTCTATAATAATAGATTGATGAGGTGGAGGCTGAAGAAAATGTGAAGCGTGAGAAATTGCAAGGGCCAGACCAGACCCAAGTGAATTCTAGAACAGAAAAAAAAGGAGAGAGTATAATTCTATATTGATATTACCCTCTGTATATAAAAACTACTAAACATATTGCCAAATTAGTAAACAAAATGTTTTCTAAAAGAAAATAATTTAGTATGATATACCAAGTTTGTAAAATAAAATCTTGTATTCTAAAGTTAAAGAGTATACATCAAAGTAGTTTGAAATGTCAATGTCAACATCTATTTAAAACACAAGAATTTACCATTCTAGCCTTGTTAGAATTTTTGTTATGTGCAGCAAGATTGACTGCAGGGGGGTCGATGACGGAGCCTGGGAAAAGCTGTGCAAGTTCTGCATTAAGCACCACGGACATGGCTTCGTTGGGTGGGGTGAGTGGAGGAGTCATAAACAGTGGTGTTGTTTTTGGAGTGGGTGGAATAACATCAGATGGGTGAATGAAGAATCCAGGGGCGGCGACTGGGTTGGAAGGCACAGAGTTGTGAATGGGAGCTACTGCTGAGGCTGCAGATGCTGCTGATGCTACAGCAGCCGCTGCAGCTGTTGTCTGATGTAACTTGGCTTCCAGCTTTGCTTTCTGTAAAAGAAGTAAAGGCAACATGTATAGACTAGTCCTGACTATCTAAACCAGTGGTTCTCAACCTGTGGGTCGCGACCCCCAAAGGTGGGGGGTGGTCAAACAACCCTTTCACAGGGGTCACCTAAGACGATCAGAAAACACATTATTTCTGATGGTTGGGGGTCACCATAACATGAGGAACTGTATTAAAGGGTGACAGCATTAGGAAGGTTGAGAACCACTGATCTAAACAATGTGGACTACTACATGAGTATATATTATGAAGATGATAATGATTAATTGGAGCCTAATGAGATACAGATGAAATTAAATCAATCTAGAGCCAACATAAGTCAAGCATTTCTTTGTTCTATATGCTTCATTGAATAAACGTTCCTCAATATTTGACAACTAAGACTTTCTTCCAACCAAAGGTAAAAAGAAGGCAGAACTGTCAAAAGTAAATAAAGAAGCAAGTTCTGCTAAAAAACAAAACAAATACTAACAACCTAACTCATGCTAACTCCACCTGGAATTGGCATAGCTTGAATTTGGACCCTCCAAAATTCTCTAAAACATCTCTCATTATCATTAAATTTTAAGTTGTATTAATTTAATTGGTCTTTTAAATGTCTGTCCAACTCTCACACTCTATTGGAAATAGCAGTGTTTGATCCAGAGTATTTAAGCAGTTAAAAAATATCAACTCTACTCCTTCAAGTATGAATCAAAGTTCATTTATATAATTTTCAAATTTAAATGTATCACAAAGACTTTACCTCGTGTTTGTCGAAACTGATTAGTTCAGATTGGTCACCCTATTTTCGTTTATGAAAATGGTCATTGTTACAGTACTTTTTCAGCTTTTGAAGTTTAGAGACAGCATGAACATCTAAGAGCCAAATAGTCTCCAACCTGTTGCTGAAGCTTCAAAAGCTGCTGCTGTTTCTCTTGCAGCACCTGTAGCTGTTGCTCGGCTGAAGCCATTGCATGAGAGAGAGACTGCAAAGCTACCTGGGCTGCTGAACTCAGAGCTGTCGAGGCTTCCCCAACTGTCCCAGATGGTAGTCCACCTACTGCAGGAGTAACCCCGAAGGAACTCACTGGTATAAGACAAGGAAAGAGAAAGCCAGGATGAAGAAGGGGCTTATGCAGAAACTTACTCCAAGTACATTATCTTGCCAGTGAATTTTAAGTTAATTTTCAGTTCAAAAGACAGGCAACAAATTTATAAATAGAAAAATCTAAATGATAAAAGTATTTGATAACATTAAATTCTTCAATAGCTACAAATTATTTCTAAATCAAAGATAAGTTAGACAGTAGAATTTTTACTTCAGATTCTCAGAAGAAATATTTAAATCTACTAGTCATTCAAAATGCAAATAAGCTAATATACAATTAGAGCATAAGAAATCAACTGTAATTTCATTTCCTAAGTTTTCTTGTAACAATAACTCTACAGCCCAAGCTCCCTACCTAAAACCTTCAATATGAGATGAATATCACTTAAGGACACCAAACCAAAACATGTCTACTGCCAACTCATAATGATCCTATACACACGGTTTCTGAAACTGTGGATATTTATGAGAGCAATACTGACCTGTGCTATACAGGTTATATGGGCAAAGGATTGCTGCTAGGAATATACATTACCATGTGGCACAGTCTTAATAAATTAATGCATTCAATAAATGAGCAACCCTAAGAGTCAGATACGGATCCTCCTCGTTTTCAGTTGATGAAGTAGAGATTGGCTCAAAGTAGGTAACCTGTAAAGCTCATAGTAAATCTGGGCTCAGAAGGACAGGCGGCGCGAAGGCAGAGGCATTTACAAGGCAATCTGCAAAGAATTTGTCACCTAGTATCAACTAATGCAAATTTTGCAAAGGCACATATACTCACTCAATGCCACCCATCTTATCAATTCCAACTCACAGTGATCCTATATAGGGCTTCCAAGACTGTAACCTTTATAGGAGTGAACAGTTCCATTTTTTTCCCTGCAGAGCAGCTAATGGGTTGAACTGCTGACCTTGTAGTTGTAGCCAAATAAATAATGAAATCATATCTCAGGAAAGTGAAGCAATTTGTTCACAAATAGTGAATTCAAATCCAGGCAATCTGTACCAGGGGGTTTCAGAAAGAGTATATAGAAAAATTCCCTTATCGTTTATACGAATTTGTTCTTCTGTGTCAACACATCTCCTCAAGGACCTTCCTCTTTCTCTCTGCTCTTCCACTCTGCCAAACATGACGTCCTTTTGCAGAGAGACCAGTCTCCTTATATAACATGTCCAAAGTATATGAGATGAAGTCTCACCATCTTTGCCTCTAGGAGCATTCTGGCTGCACATCTTCCGAGGCAAGATCAGTTTGTTCATCTGGCGGCTCTTAGTATTTTCAATATTCTTCATCAGCACCATAGTTAAATGCTACCTCTGGTAGCTCCCGGTTAATGTACTGCTGCAACCATTGTTGGATGATCTTCAGCAAAATATTGCTTGCATGTGATATCAATAACACTGTTCTATAGTTTGAGCATTTTGTTGGGTCACCTTTCTTTAGAACTGATCCAAATATGGTTTTTTTCCCGGTCAATTTGACCAAATAGCTCTCTTTCAAATTTCTTGGTACAGATGAGCGAGTGCTTCCAGTGCTTCATCAGCTTGCTGAAACATTTCAATGGTTATTTCATCAATTCCTGGAGTCTTGTATTTGGCTAAAGCTTTCAGTGCAGTTAGACTTCTTTAAATCGTTGAATGTTAACCAGTTCTTTTCGATACAATGACTAGGTTTATCCTTCTCATCTTTGTTGATGTTTGTTTCCTATATCATTCAATATTTTGCCAAAAGAATCTTTCATATATTGAGACTTGAGCCTTGATTTTTTTTCCCTAAGTTCTTTCAGTTTAAGATGTGCTGAATGTGTTCTCCCATTTGGGTTCTCTAACGCTGTATTTTTATACATTTCATTATTAAGGACCCCTCGTGGTGTAGTGGTTACACTTCGGGCTCCTATCAAGGTTAGCAGTTTGAATCCACCAGCCAGACAAGGCTTTCTACTCCTGTAACAAAACTGCAGTCTTGGAAATCCTCAGGGGCAGTTCTACCCTGTATTATATGGTCTCTATGAGTCAGAATTGACTTTATGGCAGTGAGTTGTGGGGGCAATTTTAGAGGCCCTAATTTATGGAATAGAGTTTAAGGAACACAATTAAAAAGTAACATACACTGAAGACAAATGGGTGCATAAGCAAATGTGGTAAAGAAAGCTGATGGTGCCCGGCTATCAAAAAGTATAGCGTCTGGGGTCTTAAAGGCTTGAAGGTAATCAAGCGGCCATCTAGCTCAGAAGCAACAAAGCCCACATGGAAGAAGCACACCAGCCTATGCAACCACGAGGTGTCGAAGGGATCAGGTGTAAGGCATCATCAGAACAAAAAATCTTACCATAGTGAATGATGGGGGGAGTGCGGAGTGGAGATCCAAAGCCCATTAGTAGGCCACTGGAGATCCCCTTGCAGAGGGGTCTCAGGGAGGAGATGAGCCAGTCAGGGTGCGATGTAACAATGATCAGAAATACAACCTTCCTCTAGTTCCTAAAGGTTTCCTCCCCGCTCCCACTACCATGACTCGAATTCTATCTCGCAAGACTGGCTGGACCAGAGGAGGTACACTGGTACAGATGGGAACTGAAAATACAGGGAATCCAGGACGGATGAGCCCTATAGGACCAGTGGTGTGAGTGGCAAAACAGGGAGGGTAAAGGGAGAAGGGGTAGGAAAGAGGGAACCGATTACATGGAACTGTGTGTGACCTCCTCCCTGGGGGACAGACAACCGAAAAGTGGATGAAGGGAGAAGTCGGACAGGGCAAGATATGACAAAATACCCATGTATAAACTATCAAGGGCTCATGCGGGAGGGGGGAGCGGGGAGGGAGGGGAAAAATGAGGACCTAATGTCGGGGGTTTAAATGGAGAGAAAATGTTTTGAGAAACGATGTACAAATGTGCTTTACACAATTGATGTGTGTATGGATTGGGATAACAGTTGTATGAGCCCCTAATAAAATGTTAAAAAAGAAAAAAAAAAAAGTAACATACAGCAGAAGGTTAGATGAGTAGGACCTTCTAAAACTTAAACACATTTATAATAAAAGATTTCTCCAAACAATAGGGTGAGAACTTACAGGCAGGGAAATATTTTGACAACAGCCTATCAAACAAAGGATTCACTAAAATGTATAGAAAAGTTCAAAACCTTGACAGAGGGCATTAACAGAAATTTCACCAAGACAACATTCAAGACAGCCAAAGAAGCATAAAAAGATGTGCATGATCATTAGCCATCATCAGGTTTCATCTCACACCAGCAATAACAGCAATGATTAAAAGCCCAGAAAATCAGTAGTGGTGAGGCTGTGAGAGACTGGAACTATCACACATTGCTGGCAGGATAACACAAATAGTACGACCACTGTGAAAACAGTTCCTTAAAAAATCAGTAATAGAAATAACTTAACATTCAGCAAGCCAGAACTACGTACACTCATATATCCTAGAAAAATAAGAGTGACACAAATAGGTATGAGAGCTTCAAAAGTTCATGAAAAAATTCCAGTATATTTTCATTTTACTTTTCTACAAACTATTTGCAGCATCCTGGGATGTCATATACAAGTACAGTTATGAAAAAAAATTTTAATCATAACCATACTCCTTCAGGGAATAAGCTGCTGGGCCTGGGGATTACAACCATAGTCTCGGGGAACATTGAGGTCAACTGACATAACAGCTCACAGAGACAACGCTAATGCTCTATGTCCTACCACGGTGAATAAGCAACATCTAAGCTGCAGATGCTGTTCTCTGATCTTTGAGAACAAAGAAGCATGAAGAAAGTCAAAGGGGGATAGGAAGAATTAGTCCTGAGTAAGATTAATACAACACATGAACCCCCAACCTCCACAAGATGAACTAGATGGTGCCAGCTATCCCTACCAACTGCTCTGGTTGGGACCACAATAAAAGGTTCTGCACAACACAGTAGAAAAATGTAGAGCAAAACTCATAGTAAAGAAAACCCCAAAACATTCATAAATCATAAAAAAAAGCCAGAATTACTTGTCTGATAAAAACTGGTAAAACCTGGAGACTATGACCTTTAGACACCTTTCAAGCCTAGAACTGAACCTATTCCTCCAAATCACCTTTCACCCAAACAATAGAGACAGGACCCTAGAGTAAACAATGAGAGCCGTGAGGTATATAGATATGATTGCTCCTGGGACCAATCAGCCACGTAAGGCCAAAGAGTACTGCTATCCTACAGGGATTTCCAGTGGTTCTGAGAGCCTATCTGTAGAAACTGTTGAAGGGGAAATTAACTTGCTATGTAAATGTCAAACAAGCCACACAAAATGTTAAAAATTGAACATTTTTAAAAATCAAACATTTCTCAAGCAAAAAACAATTCTGTAATATACAACTTCATGATAGAGGGGTTCAATGACATCAGAGTGGGAGTAATGAATCACCTCCAAGGGTAGACACATAAGTTTTTGACCTGGGCTCAGTCCTGTGGCAAGTGAGGGCCCAGGGATAAGATATACAGATTCTCTAAAACCCAGTTTCACTGATATTGCCACATTGGAAAAACATACCAACAAATAGAAAAAGAAAGGTACACTTAGAAGCATCAAGGCAGATCTTATGAGAAACAGTAACCACAAAGATAAAGAGATAATACAAAATGACAAAAGGTATAGCTACAATCATTTTGAATTTGTAAGCAAGACTCAAAACATTTTAAGTAAAAATATGAAACCAAAATAAACAAATCCATGATGACAATATTTTAACATATCATACACAGCCAAACAAACTAAACCAACCATAAAATCAATTCCAACTCATAACAATCTTACAGGACAGAAGCAAACTGTTGCTTAGCGTTTCAAAGACTACATCATCACCGGAGCAAACAGCCTCCTTTCTTTTCTCTCTACGAGTGGCTGGTGTGTTTGAACCACCAACCGTTTTGTCAGCAGCTCTATTCTTCACCCATAGTGCCACCAAGAATGCTTACAACTAAAAGTACTTCAAAATAATAATAATTATTATTATTAGATTAAATAATCAGGAATTTAGGTGGAAATTTAAAAAAATTCATGAGAAAATACATTCCCTTTCAATTCCCTTTTCCAAGAACTTTTTTAAAAATTATTTTATTGGGGGCTCGTACAATACTTATCACAATCCATACATACATACATTGTGTCAGGCACATATGTACATTCGCTGCCCTCATCATTCTCAAGACATTTGCCGTCAACTCTAGCCCCTAATATCAGCTGTCCATTTTCCCCCTCCCTCACCACTGCCCCTCCCTCATGAGCCCTCCATAATTCACAAAACATTATTGTTTTGTCATAAGTTACACTGTTCCAAGAACTTTTTGAAGCTCCCTAAGAATGAGAATACACATCAATTTATTTACTAAATAGTTTTAAGCACCCATGGATTATCTGTTTAAAAAAAAAAAAAAAAGTACCTCTCTACAACTCCAAACAAGTACTACAGAATTAATAGGGCTTTTTGAACTCAAGGCAATTTAAGTAGAAAATAGCAACAACAACAACAAAGTAATCTGTAATATGAAAAAAATGTTAAATGTAGTTCTTTAACATTAAATACTAACACTGGGCATATGAATAACCTAAACCCATGGCGAATACATGGCGAATATCTTAGATTAATAGCAAATGAAAAACATATCCATTAAAACGAAAAGCTTCAAAATAGAATGACTATTAACAATCAAGGAACAGATCAACAAATATGCTTTATCCATAAAATAAAATTCCAAAGATTAATAAAAAAGACTCAAGTCTCCATATGTCACAATGTGGGTACAGTTCACAATCCTAATGTGAATGAGAAGGCAGATCTCCTCCCCAAGTAAATATGTACATGATTTTTTCTAGTCCTTACCACTGGTGTTACAAATATTAACATACCTAACGGCTAATTAAAAGGCTAATGGGTTTTGTGTCCACCCAGAGGTACCTTAGAAGGCCTAGCGATCTACTTCTGAAAAACCAGCCACTGAAAATTCTACCAAGCACAACACAACTCTGACACATACAGGATTTGCTGAGTTGAAATCAACTCAAAAGCAAGTGGTTTCATACCTAACCACAGTGTTCAAGAATGCATTAAGAGGTTAAACCAAGAACCACAATAATCAAGGGATTACTTTGAACGTTAGACTGATGTTTACCTCTTGAAGACAGTGAGGGACAAGATAGTTAATAAAAGAGGCATTAGGATACTTTTTAGAGTGCTGGACATGTTGTGTTTAGACAAAGAAATTGCTATACAGATATTCTGTTTTGTGATAAAATTGCTGACCTGTGTAATTGCTGCCTTCTGTTTATTACATTTCACAATCAACATGTTTCAAAAAATAGCCAATAGGATACCGAGACTACAGTCATTTTCCAACACCTTAAAATCACAGGTTTAGTTGGGACTTTGAACTAACTTTTAATAGTAATCTCTCTACAGCAGTAGTTGGGGCCAGGTGTGCTACTGAGGTAATAGATGATATATGCACAAGCTTTCCCCGTAAATACAAAAAGCTGGTTTTAATGGGAGGGTCATATGAAAGAATGCTTCCTTCTTTAAAGTCTAGATGTATAATTTTATGAGCACTCTTTAGAGTCCAATTTATTAGTAAGAATTTTCTGTAAGTTCAGCTTTCTATCATGGAATGCTTCCACAATTACGGTAAATGTATGCTCAGGACTGTCAGTCAGTGATAACTGTTAAAAGCTGGGTAATGAAAATATGGAGTCACCTTACTCTTTCCGTTATTTTTGAAATTTTCGAAATTAAAGAACTTTTAAAAATTAAAACTCATAAAAGCAAAGGGAATTAAGCTAGTGCCCTGGCATGTAGAAAAAGAAATCAAGCAAACACGATAAATTGATTTAGAAAATTCAGAAAACTACTTAGGATTTTTCCTCAAAGATCTTGCTCATAAATAATTTTCTACGTACGATATTAGCAAAGAAATTTGTTTATTACAAACTGATATTTTAATATTTTTTATCATTTTACACTAGGTGTATGCATAATAAAAGAAAGTCATGAGGTGTATAAGAAAAGAAGGTATATACCAGTAAACGTACTTGCATCATCCCTTTCTATTCTGGTTCCATCACTAGTTGACACACAAGTGAAGTGTAGGGGTTCAACTTCCAGCAGTCCAGTGAGAGATGTAAAACTACCCTCAGCAGCTGTGCAATTACTGACCTTCCCATTTCCTAAACCAGAAAGAAAACCAAACATTATCACTTGTAGAGATAACCTTTAAAAGACAATAATGTGATACTGAGAAGTAGAGCTGTTTTTCAAAGAATAATTAGAGTGCTCTTATAGATCCACAACCATTACACAATAACTCAACAGTGGATAAATAGGAAAACTCATAAAACACAACATACTCATTTGCTTGCTACAAAAAGCATAGCTTCAAAATAGCTACTTAGGGGGCTATTTATATTAACAAGAAATATCACTAGTTTTCTAGCAAACAGAAACTTCTATTCAATAACCATTAAATATAGTCTATATGTCAAACGTATCAAACAAGACACTAATACAGGACTAAAAAATTACAAATATTATCTATACATATTTCTTTTCAGTTCCTATATACATTAACAATTTCTGAGAATGAAGTATATTACTTTAATTACATAAGTATTTATAAGTTAGCATACAAGGTTGTTAAAAAAAAGAAAAAAATTGAAAAATATTGTCCACTGTGTGAACAATTAAATCCAAGCCACCCACAAAAAAGTTAACAGTGATTGTGTACATGGTTTGAAGGGAGATGGGCTGTTCTCATAATCTTCTCAATTTCCTGGCTTTAGCACTATTCCGAACAGAATTCTTTAAAAGAAAAACAAAAAGTGAAACGTTTTGAAAAGAATGGGAAGGAACTGTCGCCAACATCTGAACGGCTGATCTACAAAACTAATGCCGTCATCATCTTGTTCACCATTAGGTATGACGCTTCTGTTGTTTAGTAAGTATTTATAAACACTTGGTCAACAGAGGACATGGTGGAAACAGCAGTAAAAGAATAAGGTCCAGTCTTCATGAAGCTCACATTCTGTTGCAGAGAAGACAAAGTAGCAAACAAGAAACAACACAAGTAGATTTAACTAGAACTGGGCATGTTTGTTTTTTAAAGTCCAATTGAGACTTTGAAGGTACTAATAAGAGGAAACTGATCATAAGGGGTAAAAAAAAAAAATGCTTCCAAGATGATGGGATAAAATTTAAGGAAAGAATAAAAAGAGATTTTCTTTTCTTTTTATTACACATTAGGTAGGGGTTTGTATTTAAGAATAAGGTATTCATACTTAATCCATGAAGTGGAGGAATTCATGCAAAAGCATGAATGAAATCCCCAAAGCAGGAAGGAGCATGGTACATTTGGAAAACTGGAATAACATACTAAAGCACACTAAGGAAAAATTCCCAAGCTTGTTGATCAGATGACCCTATCTTTAAAACAAACACATCTTTAAAAATTTTTTAAAGCTTAAAGCTTTTTTATGTTAGGTTTACAACATGTATATACTTACAATAAGATGTTTGTTTTTTTTAAAGTATTCAATTCACTTCCAAGATGTTAAAATAAGCACATGAAAAATTAGTAAAACTAAAATAATGTAAAGAGACTGGTAATGTCTCACAGTTTCGCAAATCTATTGAAAATCTAGTTGTGCTGTTGCATTGTGTTCCAATATGTTAAGTTTCAAGTATATGGGAAAATACAGCCTAGCACAAGTATGTACTGTAGTTAAAAAAGAAATGTAATAGTCTTACATGTTTAAAATCCTACCAAAGGTAACCTTATCAATGCACTCAATTTCCTTACATTAGGATGAGGGGATCTTGAGCATGATCACCTTTTATCTATGTATGATCTTGAACCATCATGCATTCATTATCTGGAATATGATGGCTCAGTGCTACATTCCGACCTTCCAAATACTGGCACACTTACTTAGGCAATATCTGATACCTACATTCACTAAGGTGGCAATTTCCCAAGAGGAAAGTTTTTAAATAGTAATAGGATGTTACACCCAATGTGTAGGATATACATTGTCCAAAAATCTAACTTTTACTTAATTACTCTACTCTTAACATGGTCATCAAATACTAACAGTTGATTCCAGAGGTGAGAGCCTCTTCACTCATTTTTTAGAAAATGCCTGTTAAACAGCCAAGTGTAAAACTAAGCACAGCTGGGGGGAAAATGAGGAGCTGATATTAATGGTTCACATAGAAAGCAAATGTTTTGAGAATGATGATGGCAACAAATGTACAAATGTGCTTGACACAATGGATGGATGTATGGATTGTGATAAGAATTCCACGAGACCCCCAAAAAATGACAAATAAATAAATAAATAAGCAAGCGCAGCTTGTGGACCATTCTTTCAAATGGTTGTAATAAAACAAACAACTAATTACTTTTACCTGAGACAGAGTGCATACTTGCCATTACATCACAAAGAATATTATGTTTAAAATTAATTTTTACTGCCTCATCATTTACATTTGTAAATTAATCTGGCTTATTTTTTACTGCATGCACAAGATTAAAATACCAGAACAAAAAAGAATGCCATGAATGATTAAAACATCATTTTTTATTGTCATAAAAATAATTTTAGCCACTTGCTGTTCTTAGGGGCCGACAAGTTGGTTCCGACACATAGTAACCCTATATCTAATAGAATGACACATAGCCTGGCCCTGGGCCATCCTTAATATTGTAATGTAATAGCCCACTGTTAAAGCTACTGTGTCCCATCTACCTCACTGAGGGTCTTTTCTCTTGCACTGACTCCCTGTAGTTTATCAAGCATGGTGTCTAGCTCCCTGAAAAGGCCGCAAGAATCCCGAGGGGGATCTATAGACCATGCTTTTAGAACCAAATGGGCCAGAGAAATTCAATAGTATAAGAGTACATGGCCAGGGAAAGAGCAAGATCATACATTACATGTATATTAGATACATTAGATTTAAAAATAATGGGAAGACGTGACAAGTATTTTAAGCAGAGACAGTGACAAGGTATGCATTTAGAAATGATCACATTCACTGCAATATGAGCAATACATGGAAGTAAGGCAAGAACAGGTACCAGGAAACCAGTTAGAAAACAATTACCGTGCAGACACAAGAAGACTGTGGCTCGAATTCTAATCATGTGCTCATGACAGGTAAGAAAACAGGTATATTTGGAATAAATGTTAGTGGTAAAATAGACAAGATTGAAAAACCCTTTACAGCCATATGAGCTAAGACAGCTCACAGTCTCTAAGGTTTTCTCACTTCCAATATGAAGGATGGCAAAAATAGCAACTGTGCTTTTTGAGAACGAAATCACATAAAGGAAGTAGAAGTCCTTTGTAAAATTGTTAGAGCCATACAAATATAAAACTGATAGTGCTGCTATTGTTGCTCGTGATGACAGAAATACAAACCTCCAGCGTTACAGAAAATTGAGATCAGACCATTATAAAGTACCTATACCTACTTCCAAAAAGGGTCAAAGACATTCAAGGAGAGTGTCTTCCCAAATGATGCGAGCAAAACTGGATATCCATTTGTAAAAATCACACCACTCCACGAGCAAAAATTAACGCAGATGGATAGAAAAATCTAAATGTTATATTGTAAAGTTCTGGGCAGGTAGCAAAGGGACAAAAATAGAGGTTCTAAGTCTCCATAAATAGACTCCCAGCAGAACTGAAAATTCACAAATGACAGATGTGAGTGATGAGAAAGGTTATGGTGGATGGCAGTAACATTTCTGTCTTCTTTCACTAATATTTTCCTCTGTTCTCATTCATAATTTACTTCACAATAAAAATTGGAACTTCCTCAAGTTTACTTTTATTTATTACAGTATTAACTTCAGTGCTTACAAACACTTCAGGCAGAAAAATGCTATGAGATAAAAGAAAATCAAAGATAAAATTATTACTGTTTTGCCTACAGGAAATAGATACCCACTAAATTCTAGCCAAAAAATTTCACAGCATATAAATTACATATAAAATTCTAGATGGCTATTCTTTAGAAATGTGTAGGAGAATATAACAGTGTCAACAAAGCTTATTGTAAAAATGTGATAGTAGTAGAGGCAATTGTTCTTTCTACATCCTTCTTATAAGTGCCTATCAAATTTATTATTTAGCAAATGTAAAATAGCATATTCTTGGGCTCTGTAGGTACAGCAATGGCAACCAAATAATACTGAAAAGGCTACAACTGGAAACAGGTCACATTTCAAACAGTCTCTCATGAGCACTAAGGTAATAATGACATGCAAGGAAAAAAAAATTAAAAATCCTTTTAAAAGATCACTTTACTATCTTGCTAAGTGTTTTTTGAGGATTTTGATGTTATTATTGTTGGGGGTGAAGGGTTCTTAGGAGAAGATGATAAACTGTTCGAAAAATTCACAGATATTAAGTGATTAAGAATTTTACTCTTCAAAGAGTTGTAGTAACTACTATCTACTAAGCTTATTAAGTCAAGAAATACAATTTTAAAATTCCAGTAATAAAAGGAATTACTACCTGAAAGGACATCTGATAAGTCAATTTCATCTGACTGGACACCAATGCTGCTGTTGTATACATTTTTACATGTAGAGCCACTCATCTCCAAGTCAAAGAGGACTGGATCAAATGGGGAACTATACAAGCCATATCTGAAAAATAAAATAACGTCCTAGCAATTTTCCTGTTAGTCATCTAATTAATAAATTATCCATTGTTTTGTTTTAAGAGTAAATAGACTACAAGGGCAGAGGGAGAACTAATACTCCCTCATTAAGTTCATAGGTTTCAGTTGCATTCTTAGCCATGGCCCTGCAAATCTATACTACAAAAGACACTTTCCAGAGACTCTACTATATATCTGATCCCAATAAAGTGTTAGCACACAAACCAAAAGTATCATCTATAGATTGAAGAAAAGAAAACATAGTAGGCATCTTTTCTTCTCCTCAAAATTAAAATCAATCTAAAAAGAGTAGAAACCAATGCCTTAATTATAGGAATAACCCATTTCAAATGCTGAAGATAAAGCAAGAACTCAAATTTGACCTGTACTTGGTAAAGGTCAATTTATGTCGTAATTGTTTATCTTTGAATTTTGGAAAAAAACATGTGATTTATCTAATTCTACCTATAAATGGGTTACAACTGAAATAGATCAACTTAATCCCTTATTTAATTATCAAGGAATACCACTTTTAAGTACTTAAATACAATTTATCCTCTCCACAGAAAACAGGAAAAGAAAAACATCAATATCATCTGGGAAACAGTACAGCATAAGTAATTTTTTTGGAGAAAAGTCATGTTACACACATACACTTTAGCCACCCACCCACCCCTCACTGCCATTGAATTGATTCAGATTCATAGTGGCCCCATAATACAGTACAACTGCCTCTCGGGTTTCTGAGGGTGTCACTTTGTACAGGAATAGAAAGCCCCATTTTTCACCAGTGGAAGAGTTGGTGGCTTCAAACTGGTGACTCCTCTCACATATATGCTATATATGTGTGTGTATGTATAGAAATGTGTCCATGGTGATATCATATGCAGAAAGGCCCATTATTAGTTATTACACATATTAAAGCACCTTGTCTGAAGTAAAGCCTCCATTGGTGTTAGTCTGTCTTGTAACTGTCTGGAGACAGCAGTAAGCAAAGACGCACAAGCTGTGCTGCACCCAGCCAAATCTTCATCTTTAACGTAGTTTAGTAAGACAAAGTACCAATAAACAGAACCTAAGAGCAAAAATGAAAACATCAAGATTTTTCTTCTCCAACAAAAAGAACTTCAGATAACATTAACACCATTACACTTTTTGTCTAAAACGCCGTCTTTAAGAACAGCTCCTGGGAGGGTCAAAGAGGACACTGGCACTACTGACTGAGTGACAGCCTGAAATGCTATCTGACAGTAAGAATTTCAACTCAATTTGAAATCTAGATATTCAGGTATTCAACTAATCTGAGGTGACTCGACAAATATTTTACAATACATGAAAAGTGGAGAAACTTTGCCATAATCCACTTCAATCATGTAATACATACACTTAACACATATGCCTAAACTGTTTTACTTATTTGTGCAATCTCCCTGCATTTTATTTTGTGACAGCTGAACTACAAGTAACCAAACTAATCAATTTATTTTAATCCTTAAATGGAAGTGATCTGATATGTAACTGTCCCACTAAATAATTCTAAGTATACTTTTGAGATATTTATGGTGACTACAGTTATTTGTTGTAGAATTGATTTCACATACCACCAGTTGCTGCTGCAGGTAAAAATGACATATTATCAAGTAAAGCCTTCAATAGGACAGATCCAAATCCTGGTTGACATGGGTCACACTTCCCATTACTGAAAAAAATTTCAAAGAAGAAATTTTAAAACATCATTCATGTCTAAACTCAATTTAAAATCGACAGAACATACAGAAAACGTAAAACAAAAAGACATTAGGGATTGATTATACCACAGATCTTTGTACTATTTCCTTATGCACTGAAGCCTTCCCTTTGCGAAAAGGGATAGGAAGCAGGTACAAGTGATACTCATCACTAGTTTTTTGTTACCTTCTAATTAATCCGAGTTAAAAGTTTAGAAATAATGATCTGCACAATGTCAAAATAAGCTAAACCTGTGATATAACAGGGAACGTAATTTCAAGCCAAGAAACTCAAACATCTAGAACAATAGGCAAGTATGTGAAGGCAGGTTCCCCACCCCCTCACCAAATTCCCCAAAGTAGCACTAAGTGGCAGAGAAACCAAGAGAAGTTTTCTTATTAAGAGACATATGTCTCTTAAATAAGACATTTTGCCTTAAGAGCTTAAATCTTTTTTTAAGACCTCAATCTCAATAACTATCATTATATGTAAAAATTCCTTAAATAACACAAGCATTCATGAAAGAGCACAGTATTTTAAAAAGGAAAAAGAAAGAAAGAACACAGTATACTAAAAAAAGTACTATGCACCAAATTGTAGGTGCATCACGTAGTGTTTACAACAGAAAACTACACCAACCTAATACACAAAGCTAGAAACCGGGCACATTTATGGGCTATGCTTCGTCCTGCCTCAAAGAAGCAAACACGCACAATGTCTGAAAGACATTTTCGTGTTTTTGAAAGTAGGCTCTCGTTTCCCTCCTTTGAGCTGCAAAACAAGAACAGAATTTTAGACTCATCTTTAACTTTAACTCAATATGCAACCATCAATATCAGTAAAGGCTCTCATTAACCTTCCAGGTCCATTTGAATGGACCCCAGCCAACCAGCAGAGGCTATCCAACACAAGGCTCTGGGAGTGCTCTGGGAGTCGGCCGTCATCAGCTTTCCTGCATAGAGTGCCGAGAAGCTTTTCGTGAAATTCTGAAAACTGTAACATGGCACAGCGTTGCACTCTACAAAAAGAAAAACACAAGTGCATCAACAGCCAAGGAAGAACCATTAGACTAAAGCTATCAGTCTGGTTGTTAAGTCAAGCGTAATAAACCTAACAAATTTCATTTTGGAAATAAAATAATGAACAGCTTATAGACTTTTGAATCTAACACCAGGGCATCAGTATAAGATTATAAATGGCATATAAACAGTATTTGACTTGTAAAAGTTTTTGAAAGAAAATCAGCACCCTTATGTTAAACTTCTAGCCTCCTAAATGGTCAGAAAATCAATTTGTTTATTAAAGCTACCCACTTGGGATATTTCTATTATAACAGTACTAGAAAACTGATAGAAAGCAAATAAAAATTTTCAAGTTTTAAACTTTTTGTGTGTTAGTATGTATTGTAGAATTTTTCCTTTGTGCTTTCATTATTTTAAAACTAGAAAGAAGTAATTGAGGTTACCTTTCCTTAGAAATTGATGTTTTCTTAAATCTTCTAATTGTTACCGAGACCTCTTGAAGTAAGTCACAGCCGCGGAGGTTTTCAGATTTACGGGTGTTACTTGCATTTTCATTTTTAACATTTGATGATTTTTCCTAAACATACATAAACAAACAATTGGGTGGGGAAAAATTAAGAATTAAGTATTAAAACTTCAAAAGGGGATAAAGAACTATGACTATCAAAACATAAATGAAAACAATTGTGTTTACACTCAAATTTAGTGAATGTTTGATTTTCTATAGCGATTGTAGGAGGCGTGCAGTCATTATTTTAAGGGCAATAATCAAATAACTAAAGATTTTTAAAATACCCAAGTTTTAAAACTATGAATTCCTTCTAAAAGCACTTACCAGCTATATGAACTATGCCAACTCACAATCTCTAAGGTTCTCTCACTTCCAATATGAAAAATGGATAAAATAACAATGACTATAATTCTTGATAACTAAATCTCATGAAGTACATGGAGGTTCTTTGGAAAAAGTGGTGGACCCATACAAATCTAAGACTGATAGTGTTGCCCATTGCTGTTTATGATGATAGAAGCACAACCTCCAGAGTTCAGGAAAATCAAGATCAGACAATTATGAAGTACCAGCATCTACAAGCAGCTGATCTTCCAAGTTCAAGGTCATTCAGTAAGGGAAAATAAATTAACAGATGGTACTAGCAAAACTGGATATCCATTTGTAAAACATCACATTCCATAAACAAAAATTAACCCAAATGGATAGATCTAAATGTTATAAACTATAAAGTTCTGGGAAGGTAACACAGCGACATAAAGGTTCCTAAATATCCATAAATAAACTATCAACAGAACTGAAAATTCACAAATCAAAGAAGATAAATAAGACCAACGAAATCACCTCAAAATTTAAAAAAAAAAAGAAGAAATAACCTCAAAATTAAATACTTACACTCATATGAAGACTTAAACAAGTATAACATGAGAAGTGAAGGTATGAAAGAATTGCTGAAAATGATACATCTGACAAGACGGATCTGTAAAACTATTTTAAAACTTACAAAAAGACAAACAATCAAAGAGAAAAACAGATCTAAATTTGAACAAACATTTCACCAAAGAGGGCATTCTGGTTGTCAGCAAATAAAGGAAGTTGCTTTGAGAACTAAGATATGCCCCTGACACAGGCAATGGAATTTTCAATGGCCTTTTATATGCATGTGAAAGTCGGACACTGAAAAATGAATACCAAAGAAGAATCTATGTATTTGAATTATGATGCAGGCAAAGAATACTGAAAGTATCATGGAATGCAAAAAGGGCAAAGAAATTTGTCTTGGAAGAAATGCTGTCAAAATATTCCTTAGAGGCAAGGATGGGAAGATATCATCTCACATACTTTGGACATGCTATCAGGAGAGACCAGTCCATAGAAAAGGCAATCATACTAAGGGCAAGAGCAGCAAAAAAGAGAACGGGCCTCAACAAGATGGACTGACTGAGTGGCTGTAACAATGCACTGGAACCTAAGAACAATTATAAGGATGGCACAGAATGGGGCAGTGTTTTGTTCTGTTGTACAAGGGGTGGGGGCGGGTGTCATTGTGAGTCCAAGTCAACTCAATGGTACCTAACAACAATATATATTATTCCCCCACCTCCACCCCTCCCAAAAGTACATACTATGTAGCAAATGAAACATCAACGAAGGGTCATATTAGTCCCAAAAGTGTGTCAAATTTCATCCACAAAGTTTAAAACATTGTTGTTAAAGCTCAAACTGACACTCTTTCATACCTTGCCTGCTGTAACTTTTGCCAAGAGTGAAGCAAGTGAGTAACCCTTGTTACTCTGAGGTTTTAGGGATGGCAGTCTTAACACAGGCCGCATACCACCATTACAAAGTTCATCTGCTCCTCTTTCATTCACTGCTTTGACGTGGATTAAAAAAGAACGGTATTTTCCTCCTGCCATACCTAGTAAGTGGACAAGAATAGCGTAAATAACTGAATCACCAAAAGAGCTACTTTTTTTCTCATTTTCATAAGGCTAGTTATATAATTAACTCAACAAAATATATGTTGGGCTTTTATTTTTTTTAAGCAAAAACAAAAAAAAAATTGTGAGGATTACACAAACAGCTTGAGGTAGAAATTTTAGACTGTTATAAATATGAAACTCAATGGTAGTGGACTTTTTATATCTCAACACATGTATAACTATGATTAGCACAAATAAAGCACTCACTAGATACTAGTTTAATATTGAGAATATTACTTTTTTACTTAAAATTAATAATTTTAATTTACACAGTAATTATCAGTATCATATGCTGCTTATTGTTTTACGTACACTGATATATTATATAAGGAGGCTTAAAAAGGATCAAGGAACAATGGAATTAAAAGATGTTTCCTCAAGCTTTATGAAGCCCCTTTGTATGTAATACAAAAACCACAAACCAAACTCACTGCCATTGAGCCAAGGCCAACTCATGGTGACTCCATTGTGGGTTTCCAAAACTGTAACTATTTATGGGAGTAGAAAGCCCTGCTGGTGGATTAACACTGCTGACCATGCAGTTCCCAGCCCAATGCGTAACCACTGCACCACCAGGGCTCAAGTGACACATAATGCAAAATATCCCCACTTTAATACATTCACCCACCAGCAACTCATTAATATGTGTTGTCTTTAAACAAAAAGGCCAAATCTCCCTTCCAATTGGATTTCTAGCATTTAACGTCTATAAAAGAAAAGATGGAACTACCTCATAAGGTTTCCAAAGTTGTAATCTTTAAGGAAGCAGAGCACCATAAATTCAACCAACAGAGCAAGAGCAGTTGGTGGATTCAAACCATCAGCCTTTCAATTACCAAGACAGCGTTTTAATCACTGTGCCACAAAGGATTTTTTACATTTGTCTTAGCAGGTACTAAATCTTTCCGTGGCTTAAATATGCCTGTTGCTTTCCATTAATCTGCTTACCTACTATTGACCATGTTAACTTTTCCATAATCCAACATTCTAGTATGACAAGCAACCCCATTTTTAGTGTTCTATATCTAAATTTCTTCATGCAATTTTAGTCTCAATGGGGTCACTATAAGTCAGCATTGATTTGACGGTAGTGAGGTTTGTTTGTTTTCAGTTTATCGTTATAGATAATAAACCCTCTGAAGGCATGCAAAAACTAAAAATAATACCTCATTACTCAGATAATCTGTTTTACCACATTAAATAATCCTGCATTGATTTTATTTATATTTTTCAAAAAATACTGAGATGTCAACAACAGAAAGTAAGCTAAGAAGTATCATTGTAGTCATGACAGAAAACAAACTCAGCTATCCAGAAATGTCTTATTTCTAATAAAAGCCTGAAATAAAATATCTGACCTTTTTTTCACATTAGTTAAAATATTTTTTATATGTGTGTAATTGTGGCATTACTTATGACACTTTTGTAAAACATATCACTTTACCTTTAACAAGTTTGGGACTTGTTAAGGTCAACATCCCAGCATGTCCTGATAGATCAAGGCCACTAGCAAGCCACACTGGCCCACAAAGGATATCTTCTTTATGATCTTCTAAAAATGGACATAGTCTAAGACCTAAAAGGAAAAACACATTATTCAATTATAATTTAAATTTTAATCTTTAAGAAGAAAATATCCATGCCATTTATATGTAAGATCATCACATAAACCACCATCTTTTACAAGTGTTTGAATAAGAATTCATTGCCATGCTAATAAAATATAATCAATTATCTGATATACTATTTTCAATAGATTGTTTTTAGTCCTGTATTTCTATTTCACCATGATTGTCATAAAAATTATAAAACTTTGACTTGATTTCAAAGCGCAAGGAATTAAATAACAAGAGTGAGAGGGAATTAGTGCAGCTGTGTTCACAAAGATGAGCTGAAAGTTAAAGCATAATGCCAAAGCAAGATTATAGGTTATTTTTTAATTGTGTTCTTAAAACCAAGTTTCTGCAAGCCATAAGGAAATCTTTGCCCGACATGATGCATTCGGATCACTCCTCCTTTTATTGTCAGGGACAACAGCTCTGTAATTTAACTCACACTGTGATTCCTCTATATCCATGTGCTGAATTTCTTCATTCAAATCAACCAAGGACGGTCTCCCATTTTGTTCCACTTCAATGTTAAGAGCTGGAGACAAAGGAAAGGTGATCTGCCTATCTACTGCTGTTTCTAGAGGATAAAAATATTAGTAAACTTAATTTTACTTAATATCAATAATTTGTGCCTAAAAATCTAAAATGCTCTTTATACTGAGAACTGCTAATTTTCTCAGGGAAAGAAGAAAATTAGATTCAATTAATTATTTCCTACACTTTTTAAATGGGAATAAAATGTTATATGAATAAATTATTTATTGGGAACCCCACTCAAGTTATCCTATCCTACACCACAAGCACTTAGAGATTCTGAAAATATCAATACCTAAGTCCTAGACTGGAATCAGAATCTGTCTTGATCCAAAAGCACATGCACGCATGCGTGTGTACACACACACACACACACACACAGCATAAACATGTAAAATTTTTTACCCAGGGAATGTTTCAAGTTTCACTGTTTGTACCTCTAGTGTTCAAAATTAAGGGGGCATTTTACTCTGAAATTATCCCCAGGCTTTTTTTTTTTTTTTGGATTGAGAAACTCTTAATTTATTCGGCCATCAAGAGAGAGTGGGGTTTACCACGCCAAACTGCTTAGACAATTCAGTGAAAATCAAGTAAGTTATATACCTCAAATTATGTAAGAAAAAACAGGATAAAGAACTGAGAATACCTAGTTCTAATACTGTATGTGTGCAATCTGTTTAAATAATAGTTATATCAAATTATGGATTTTTAACAAAAATAAAAGAGGCATATTATTGGCTGTACATAAAAGAGTGGGTTTCATTAATAACTTTCAAAGAATGTGTAGTTTCCTTAACCAAGTTCTTTCACAGTGAAGTCTCAGGTTTAGAAAGAAAAAAATCCCAAGACTAGTCATGTTAACAAAACTAATGCACAAAAGAACTAATCTCACTTCCCAGGAAACATGTTCCAACTATTCATGCTTCTGCATTTTTAAATTTTTTTGTGACTGAAGAGTTCTGAAATGCTATCTGAATGAACTTTCCTAAATAAAATCAATCTCTCTCTCTCTCTCTCTCTCTCTCTCTCTCTCTCTCTCTCACACACACACACACACACACACACACACACACACACACACACACACACAAATAGGACAGACATACAACACTGGGATGTGGGGAGGAGTATCAATCTAAACAAGCAAGTTAAAAACGTTTTGTTTTTGTTTTTTAATGATTTAAAAAATAAGATACTCAAATATAAGCTTTGATCCATTCTTACCATTGACTTTCCCTAAGCCTGGAGCTTTATTTTTCAGAAGTGTCACTTGTATTTGTGGAATATTGGTGATGTTTGAGTTCAAAACAAATTTGAAGTCCACATGTCCAACCATACAGGCTTTCGGTAGAACTAGTTCAAATACATGTTCATCCCAGCTGTTACTGTGAACAAGGGAAGAAATGCTAAATAGAGGAAAACCTTTCTTCAATCAAAACCATATCATTGGTATCACCTTTCATACTATTTGATTTGCAGACTCCAACATAATTCAATCTTTATCAATGGGATTAGGAGAGAAGATAAGCAACACTCAATGCAGAGGTTAAACGCAGAGGGCACCGAATGACCTTACTTTAGAAAACTGCCTTGAGAATTGTCCATTATCTGCCTTGAGAATTGTTTATGACAATATTCTTGCTCCTCATAAATTTCTAACACTGAAAAATAAAGATCTCCAAATTATACTTTTTTGCTAAATTCTAGATTCATATTCAAATGTCTCAAACTTATCGTGAGTAAAAGCAAACTACCTGATTAACTCATGTCTAACCTCAGTAAAGAAAAACTCTACTTTTCAATTAGCTATAGCCAAAACTTTAAGAGTCATTCTTGACCCTCTCCTCTACCTACAAAGTCTATCCACAATCCGACCACTCTTTTCACTACCTCTTTCTACTCCAGGAAGGAGTTGGTTACAGTCTTGGAAACTCAGGGAGCAATTCTACCATGACCTACAGGATTGCAATGGGTCGGCATAAGTCCATGGCAGGTAGTCTGGAGTCTGGGGTTTATCGTCACTATAATCACGCTCCAAGTTATCTTTTTTGCCTGACTACTGTGTAGCATCACAACCAGAATTCTTGTTTCCTTAACTGTCTCCCATGGCAACCACTTTATTCTCACCTGAACAGTCACAGTAATCCTCCTAAAATATAAATCATATATCACATAACTCATTCAAAACCCTCTAAAAGAGTGGCTCTCAACCTTCCTAATGCTGTGACCCTTTAACACAAGTTCCTCATGTTGAGGTGACCCCCAGCCAAAAATTTATTTTTGTTGCTATTTCATAACTGTAATTTTGCTGTTATGAATTGGGCGACTCAGGTTGAGAACCACTGCTCTAAAAGCTTGCCATCCCACTCACAGGCTTGTAAATGCACTCTCAATCAGTAACTGCACCTCCTATTTTTTACATTCTCACTGACAACATCATTGGTCTATCTTGTTCTTCTTAGAATTCATAAAACACATTTCTCAGAATTTAGGTACTTATTATTGTGCCCAAATCAATGTCTCCATGGGGGTCTTACTTTGGCTTCTTGTATAAAAAATATCACATACATTTCAAACTTCTGTTTCATTCTCTCTCTCTCTCTCTCTCACACACACACACACACACACACACACACACACACAAACTTGCACACCCAACAACTACTGTATGGCTATTGTTTTAACATCCTTTACAGCAATTATAACCAAATGACATACTACCAACTCAAAAAGTTCATGGAAAAATGGACCTGAAAGAAAATGGGATTTTTCTACCAAATGTTTGAAACCTCCTTGTATAAATTTGGGTTCACTAGACTATAAATTCCACCAGAGCCATATTACTTGTGCCTATAAGCAACTAGACATTAAATAATTTTTTATTTGATGAATAAACCAATCCCACACAAACAAGAGATTACTCTATTTTATTCTACAGCTAAGTATAGGAACACAGCTATTTCTACAGTCAACATGACAAAAATAACAAAGAAGCTATTGACATGCCAAACTTAAGAGGGAGTAGATATCTAATAATTCTGTTTTCTCTAGCAAATAGTGATTATTTAAATTTAAATATCTTAGAAAACAATTTACCCATCAGTCTGCAGTTTCCAAGTTCTAGTATGCTGAGCAGCATCTCCATGGTGTTGCTGATGCAAATGCTGGGGATGCCTCCTTTGCTGCTGTTCTTGTTGAACTTCAACCCAGCATGGAGGAACAGTAGCTGAAAATCGTGGCGTTAGAGTCTCAAAGCGAGTTAGCTCCACTAAAGATGTTAAGATGTCAAGGGTGAATGGCTGGTCCACCAATAGTTCAACTCCTTTATGTTATTAAACGTAGCATTTGGAAAAGTTAAAAAAAGAATAATTAGTTTGAAGTTATAAGTATGTTTACTCAATTATATCAGAAAACCAGGAAAGTAGGAGCAAGTATTATGACTTCATAATAGGTACCGAAGAAAATCCACCTTAAATATTTTAAATTTTAGAAAACATACTTCCTATTGGAGGAACTCATATCCAATCTCTTAGAAGAGGTCTACCTATGGCTAACTAACACTAAATTAATAAGGGCAATTATGGTAATAAAATGCAAGTCAAATTTACTATATTAAACCAATAGTTAAAATTTAGACAGTTATTTATACAGTAGACGCAAAACACCCAAATATGTAATATCTGCCCTTTTCCAATCTATAAAAATTAACGCTAAAACCAAAAAAGGTACAATTATACCAAATAAAAACTTACAAGTTAAAATATTAAACAGTATTCTTTCTACTTTGTTGTAGTTAGGAATATTTTGTATACACAGTATCTGAAGGTGAAAAACCTGCTTCAGGCAGATTAGTTTTCTCTTATAAATTTATCTGTGAAATGTCTAACATGAGAAGCTACTGTCTTGTTAAAATTAATAAGCGTAAGTTTTTAAAAGAGTACAATATGAAATCTGTTAAGCTTAGCATATCATCTTCATATTCCCCCAAATCCAAGTTCTTTAAAATTACAACTGTATTTTAAATCATACTAGCCCTTGCTAATGTAAAGTCTTACTCTAAAAGATCATTTAAATCTCATTAATTAAAACAATATTAAATATTTTTACAAAACATTAACGGCATGGAAAAAATGTCCTTTCTTTTAGGAAAATTGGTTATTCTTTATAACTGAATGCATTTTCCATTGTTCAAAGATATTTTTATGGACTTAACCTGAAAATTCGTAACCATTTACCAAAAACTAATAAAACACAAAAATACTCAGCATGCTAACTTTTAAAGCCTAGGTAATATAATTAGCAAATGGATACAAATCTTGGTTAACTTTAAGTAAGAGATAATCCTTAAGGAATGTGTGCACAGCTAGTATGAAAAGCAGTGGTCAACAATGGAGGCAGGAAAAAGGAGTAGATTTTGCCTCCCTCCCTTACCCTCCCCCCATTATCGATACCTGAAAATATTTGAATTCATGATAGGGGGAAGGGGCAAACTGTGTACCCTACTAACATCTAATGGGTACAGGCCAGAAATGCTAACAGCCTAACAATACCCAGGATGTTATAGCTCTGCCGCCCCTATGAATTATTTGTACTTGGAATATGCTTGGAATTTAATAAACTTTTCATTAATAGGCTAGAGTTGGGGGGGTAAAAATGTAGTAAGTGCCAATAGTAAAAATCATTGCCAGTGTATGCAACCAAAGAGAACAACAGGCATAAAAAGCAGGGGAAGAGGCAGCTTTCTAGACTAACAGTTCTAGACTAGCATTAAATGTAAAGAGTGTCAAAGCGTATGGCATACTGAAAAAAATTAAACTATGATTGGAAATTAAGGAGGTAAAGCTAGATTTGTTTCACATTAGTCCACAAAGTAAGTAAAGATTTTAGAGCAAGGAAAATGATGCTATCGTTACTTCTTTTGAATAGCAGCACTGGAGGGTACTATAGAACTAGGAGGTTTGAAGAACAGACAAAACAAACAGGAAAAAAAAAATTTACTTGCTCATTCTGGAGGGGGAAAAGAGAGTCCGAGTATATACCACTCCCACTAGAGAACATTTTTAAAGCTTATATATTCCAGTCATTCTTGACTTTATACTTACTTAATACTACCTCAAATCTCTCATCTCTTTTCCCCTCCCTAACTAGACCAAGTGCTACTAAGGACATAAATAATGTTTTATCCTCTAGGCTACTGCGCCTATACTAACAAGACTACAAGTTGAGGAACTTTCTTCATGTTAACATTCATAATATCCTCCAACTATTGGAAAAATTATGATAAATAATACATAGTAATATGTCTTCGTAATTAAAAAATTATAAAATCAAAGTTGATTATAAAAATAATAATGCTTACTATCATATAGTGTCTCAGAAAACTTTTACCATCACAAGAATTTACATTTAAGACGTAATTTTAAATTTTCACATTGTACCTGAAATGCCAGGACTTGAAGGATTTGACAAAGGTTTAGACCCTTCTGAAGTGGGTTCTACTCCTTTAGAAAGGGAGCCGTCCACTAGTATATCAGCTTCATCAATGTCATCACAGGTTCCTCCAATTTGGAGAAAATGAAGCTCACCACCTATACAGTATAATAAAATTCCATCAACACAGAAACATGACGACAGGATACACATTCAACTGCATACTATTTAGTTGAGATACTTAATAACAACATAATGAAGGAAGGCAGTTAACATGGGCTAAACCAAGTGATATATATCTCTAAGAATTTAGAAATTTAATTGCCAAAGAAGAGCAAACTGAAAAGTCATTTTAATGAAGAAAATGGCAAATATCACATACCTGGAGAAAGGTATTTACCAAGCAATGACTGTTAAGTTACGGTGTGCTGGTGGTGCAGCCGCTGTCCACAGGAGAGAGAGAGAGCTGTCTGCTCCCATGGAGATGAGTCTCAGAAACACTATGAACGGTTCTACTCTTGTCTACACAATGACTATGAGTCTCAATCAACTCAAGTACAATGAGGTTAGTTCTTGGTATTTTTAAACACCATATTAAGTGCTTAAATTAATTCATTTAATCTTCACAAAAAAACCCTGAGGGAAGAACTACTTTGAGGCCATTTTACAGGTGAAGAAGCTAATGGACTAGCTATAATGGGAACCATAGCAAACACAGTAGTATAAAACAGAACAAAGATTCTTAACTTTTTGAAACACTATATAACAAAATCAAATTTCTCATTCCATAGGTCTAAACCCATCTCTTTCAAGTCAATTAACCCACTGTGCTGCCCAGGGGCCTAGCACAGAAAAACAAACAAACTTGAAGGGAAATGCAGCAAAGCATTTAAGGAAAAAAAAAAAGAATAAAACTATTTCTTGACAAGTGGAGATTCCCCTCATGCATGAGTATAAGCTAAGACACAAAACCTCTGCCCAAAAGACAACTATAAATATAAAACTGGACAAAACCGTCATTCAACCAGGCTGGAACAAGCCATCAATGTCAGGAGCTCCCCCAGTATGTATTGCCAGAGGGCGCCTGAAAGCTGTTGGTTAAATGGCAATTTCAGCAACAAACCAACAGGAATGGTCCACTCTGCTAGCTTAAAGTCTAATACCAGGGATTGAACACAGGATTTAGAGAAGTGGGTAGGCATAGGTGGTTGGATAAGCTCTCCAAGCACGTATTCTGAGCTGGATGGAAGACTAAATAGCAAAGACTAGAGGGTACCCAGGACATCAACATATTCCTTGTGAATATGCAGAAAGGACCCAAAAGAGAATGCCAGATAATATAATCCAGCATGTACTTGTGAATATGCACTCCAAAGAGTGGAAATCTTACAAGTTAAAGGTATATGTGTACATTCTCTAATCAGTCTTTGGTTAAATATTAACTTAAGTTAGTACACAGAAAACAAATACAAAGCCAAGATTAGAAAGGAGAGAGAAGAGATATCAGCAGCTAAACAATGCTGAAGAGATAGATTCACAGATTTCGTCAAAATAAAAACTTTTCTTTGGGAGGTATACATAGCAGAATTACGAGTTTCCCTAAAATGCCCAGTGTAAAGTAAAAATATGTAAGGCATGCAAAAGAGTTACTAATACTTACAAAATAATAACAACACGAGTGTTGCAAGAGGTCAGATTTAGCAAGACTTAAAAGGTACTGTAAATGTATTTTTTAATCAAGCAAGAAGAAAGCAGGCGTAAAGAAATACAGGAAAGAATGGTGAAAAGTTCTCAACAGAGTAGACTTATAAATAAAACTAACAAGAAGAAAACTCAACAAAACGGTTGAAAGGTAACCTTACTAAAATGAAATGTTCACTAGACTCAAAGGCAAATGTGAGGTGGCAGAAGAAGGAATGAGTGAAATGAATAAAGGGTAATAAAAATTAACCAATCTAAATAACAGAGAGAAAAGATTGCAGAAAATAAACAAATCTTAGAGATATTGGGGACAGATTAAGAACATACTTTTTATAGGAGTCCCACCAAAGGGGGGGGCGTTATTGAGTATATAAAACACTGTAATAAAACAGTGTGACGGAAATTTCTAAAAAGAAAATGGAATTTTTCCAAAAACTTGTTGTACTTTCAAATTTGAAGAAACAAGTCAAAAACTTACTATTAGGTGAAAACATTATGCTGTAAATCCAATCAGTTTAATGGACAAGTAGGATAAAAACAAAGTCATACTTAAGCACATTAGTCAAACTGTTCAAGGCCAGAGCAAAGATAAAAATCTTGACAGTAGCAAGAGAAAACTGATTCATCAAAGACAAGAAAACAGTATATACAATTCAAACCTGAGATCCTGTCAAACAATATAGGGCAAAGGGGTAATAGAATAACAATTCAAACTGCAAAAATAAACTGTTAACCAAATGACCATGTAGCAAGATACAGTGTCAGTCAGTCAGTCAAAAATTATTGCTACTTCAGTCCCAAGGATTCTTTGTGGCAAAGTGGGTTAAGCATTCAGCTACTAATCACAAGGCCATCAGTTCAAATCCACTATTTTTCACAAACTTTTGAAAGACCTCCAGTATGTTTGTGGTTACAAACTGCTAACTGCAGGTCAGTGGTTCTAAATCACTGGCTGCCCCTCGGGGAAAGATGAGGCTTTCTACTTCTGTAAACAGTTACAGATGCTGTTCTACCCTGTGTGACAGGGTCGCTATGCGTCAGAATTGACTCGATGGCAGTAAAGGAGCCTCTAGATGTAGCTGTCAGTTGCAGTTTGGTTCATTCTGATTCATGGTGACCTTGTGTACACAGAGAACTACTCCAAAAGGTTTCCAGGGCTTTGGAAAAGCAGGTCGCCAGGCCTGCCTTTCAGGGCTTCTGTGGGAAGCTTTCATTACTCATCACCAGTTAGCCACTGGTGTCATCCAGTGATCTAATACGTGTATGTACATGTGTAGATTTTATTTGAAAATATTAATCACTTTGCACTTGACACAATATTGAAAACCCTAAAAATTCTACAAGTTATTAGAGCTAACAATATTTTCACAAAGTGACTTACATTTTTATACATAATGAGCTAAATGAGAAAGAAGTTAAGGAAACAATACCATTTACAATAGCATCTGAAAGAATAAACTTAACTAGGACGGTCAAGGGCTTATACAACAAAAACTATTAAATATAATTAGAGGAAAGTAAAGAATGTCTAAATAAATGGAAGATATTTTTTACTCCTGAACTATAAGGCTTAATATTATTAATATAAGATTCAAAGTATTCGAAAAATTCAATGCAATTTCTATCAAAATTCCAACAGCCTTCTTTGCAGAAATAGAAAACCCAATCCTCAAATTGCCAATGGGTGCCAAACTGCCAAAGCAATCTTGAAAAATAAAAAGAGTGGGAAGACGCACACTTCCTGATTTCAAAGCATACTACAATTATATAATAATTAAAACAGCCTGGTACTGGTATAATGATAGACACAAACATAAAATGGAACAGAACTGAGAATTCTAAGGAACAAGTCATCTACGGTCAAGTATTTCTGACATGGATGATTTCCTTCTCTATTCAACAGGAAAGGTATTATGAACAACTGTACTCACTCAAATTTGAAAACTCACAGACACATAGGCCAACAAAACAGAATCATGAATCCAGTCAGAGAAGAGCGAACAACAATTCTAGCCACATTATTTCAGAACAGAGAATAGAATGCTACTGAATTTATTTTATGAAGTAGGCATAAACCTCTTAACAAAACCAAGCAAAGACAACACTAAAAAACAGACAAATATTCATCTTAACAAAGTGAGGGCAATTTTATATAATATGAAATGGCAAATTAGAGTTGCAGTTTAATATGTTTTATACTTAAATGCTATTCACTAGAAGAAGCCTCATGTGTATCTCATTAAATAATGTAAGTCACTAAACCTTTACTGTAATTCAGGAAAACACTAGCATCTTTTAAAGAAAATTATGTCCTAAGGCCAAACCGCCAACATTCCAAAGTCAGCTACATTTCTTAAAAGTTGGATGGCTGTTGGCTTATTAATTTTATTGGAAAGATTTTTCAGATTAAAAGACGCTAAATAATTCAATAGGATAGTTCCTGCTTTTGTAACAACCTAGCAGAATAGTGAAGTTAAGCATACTGAAGATTGTAGGAGTGTGTCCAGGTCTGAAGGCTGGTTCTGTCACTTACAAACTCTGTGAGTTATAGTTACTTAGCCTTTCTTTCCTTCAGTTTTCTTCTATGAAAATAGAGGTAGTAAAAGCACTTATCTGAAAGAATTGGTGTGATGGCTAAGAGTAGAAACAAAGCTCTGCTAACTATGAACTTGCGCATCCGTTGAGAACAGAAAGCTTTCTCAAATCCCAAGTGCACTGTCAAACCTTGGTTGGTGACCTAGTTTTCAAACATCTCCTGCTCACCTCTAAATTCATATTTAACTGTCATCAGGACTACTCATTTTTACTGATGCCTAATGTCAATTATCCTGCTCAAAAGTTGCTTATCTCTTCAATGTACACTTGGAAGAGGAATTTGGGTGGGGAGTGTACACTATCACATATACTGTACAGTGCCTCAGTTGTTCCACCCAAAGGTTGGAGGAGTAACAGAATTTTTAAGTCTAATAATTATTTACTAAGTTCTTTTTTTAAAACAGAGGAGCTAGCATCTGTGTCAAGAACTTTAGATATATTCTTTCATGTAGTTATAAAAAGTTATAAAAAAGCCTAGAATAGGCTTTCTTAGTTTAAAATGAAAGGAAGTTTAAAGTAATTTCCCCCAGGTCACATGTTTGAACAAATCATGACTCACAGAAACAAGAGCAAGTTACAGGTATTGCCTTACTTTTCAAAAGTTCACTTTTACAAAACATCCCAAGCCAACTGCATTCCGACTCATAGTGACCCTGTAAGACAAAACAGACCTGCCCCTTTTGGGTTTCTGAAGCTGCAAATCTTTAGGGAAGCTAAAAGCTTCATCTTTCTCCCATAGAGCAGCTGGTAGATTCGAACTGCTGACCTTGCAATTAGCAGTCCAAGGCATAACCCACTATCTGTCCCAGGGCATCTTTCACTTTTATGTAAGACCAACTTATGTGGCTGATTTCGTAAATAAGAGATCGAAAGATTTTTTTTCTTTTATGGAAAAAGAGCCAAAGTCTTCAGCGTTTGTTAACAATATAGCTGTTAGGGAGGCAGCACCCATCCCCACCAGAAAGAGTGGCATCCAAGGGTCTTCCTTGGAAACAACATTGAGCATCTCAACTTCAAGCCACCATAGTTTTGAACCGTGCCTGTGAACACTCTATGTCACTGTTATTTCAGGTTTGATTTTGGTAGGGCTTGGGGGGATCTGGGAAGGCTCAAATTATAATATATGCTCAAAATAACAATAATATATAATTGATCAAGGATTCACAGGGGTGGGAGGGAGAGGTTAAAAAGAAGAGATGATACCAAGGGCTCAAGTAGAAAGAAAATGTTCTGGGAAAATGTTGATGGCAACTTACATACAAATGTGCTTAATACAATTGAATGAGATTGTTGTAAGATTTTTAAGAGCCCCCCCCAATAAAATGATTAATAAATATATATGTAAGCATATAAATTAATGGGAAATGCACCTTCAATTTTACACCATTTTGGCTTACAAAACACAAGGGAAACCTGTATTTTCTTGAGATGAAAAGCAAAGAAAATACTTTCTGAAAAACGTATTTACAATTAAATCTTTACCTGGGGCAGTAGGAAAAATAGTTTTAAAGGAGCAGTGAAAACATTCAAAAATTATAGAAAAATCGATTCTCTCATCTATACAGACCTAAAATTCATACTAGGGTATACCCATCAAAGAGGGTCATATCTGTCAATTTCATCATCTACTTTGAGATTTGTATAAGACTTGAATCCAGTAGCTTACCTTTGGTGCATGCACACAGTCTGTCTGTGCCTGAGCAGTATATGACAGAGACAAACACGTCCTGTTCCTCAGTGCCCTCCTTTTTGGGAGGTTCCACTTTGGCCAAAACTTCAAAGTTTGAAAGGTCTAGTATTTTTACATATCCTCCCTGAGTGGTTATTACCAGGTGTCCAAGGGTTGAAATATCAGACTTTTTCTCTCTCTCAATACCATTCTTTGAGGTTAACTGCACTTCCTCAGTGGGTTCCTCACAGTCATCCTCTCGATTATCCAAGATATCTGGCGGAAGCAGAATGAGTGAGGTAATTGTGTCCTGGGGATCTTTGATATGTTGGATTTTTATTGGCTCCTCTTCTAAAGTCACTATCCGCGTGGCATAATTCATTTTATAAAGTACTAAATATCCACCACTAACATTCTTCTGCTCGTGGTGAATTAGCAAAGAAGTCTGTGCGTCTGCTGGTGATTCATGTTGGATTACACTGATATTTGCACCATTCACTACAGCAAGATTTGATTCCAGATCACATTTCTGTCTATTACATAGAGCAGAGTTTAGTTTATTTAAATTATTCAAGGCCTCTACTTGATTTATTGCACTCATGGATTCAACGGGGCATGTCCGCAGTCCTACCAACAAATGAATTCCATCAGCACAAGGAGTTATCGAGTCTATGCAAAGATTCTCCTCTTCTGCAAACTTTGGCACCCTCAAGCACTGAACCAGAGTCCCAGGCTTGGGAAACACAGCACTCCATTTGTCTGAGTCTGGAGAGGTCAGGTTGGCTGCAGCATCTGCAAATTGCTGGATATAGGTTACAGGAGGATCCTGCAACAACAACTGCTCCTGACTATCCAGCTCCATTTCAATAATCTGTGGCACTGTGAAGCCATCGTCGTGCAAACTTTTACTCATAATATTGTTCATCTGTGAAAAGATTTTCCCTGCTTTCTCGTCAGATTCCTTGATGCTATAGAGCAGCAAAATGGGTAAAGTCCTCCTTACCAGGGGAGAATTTAGCTCTGAATTTGTACAGGATTCATTGTCAGTGGACCCTTGTTCAGATGTATTTTCACCCTGAGTTCTGCTTAAACCATCCAGTGACCTGTGAGAATTACTACTAATGGGAGAGCTGGCAGGAGATTTATATGTTAATAAACCTCCGGCTAATAAACATGGAAAAGGAATGTTGTGTTGTTCCTGGTGCTTTTCCTTTGTCTTTTCACTCTTACAGTTTGTTAAGCAGGGATTTGCCCCTAGTTCTTCAAGATCCTTAACAGTATCTTCAAGCACATTTGCAACAATCTCCCACTGAAGTTTTTCTGGCTGCTGGAGAATGCTCAGTGCTGTTATATCAAGACTCACTTCCATGGCTTCCTTCTGGGATGTATGCCCTTTGAAAAAGAGCAACATTCATTAGATACGGCATTGTAAGTACCCATCAAAACCCTTGGTCTACCCTAATGGCTAACCCGCAACACCCCCAGGACTCCTTTCTAAATCATAAAGACAATACCATATAGGTATGTGTCAAATATGCACCTTCCAGATTATCCATGAAAAACTTTCAATCTAAATTTCCTCCCTTCATCCATTTAGGAGTCATAGCACCATCTCCCCCTGCCACCCCACTATGTCTAGCAGTTAATTTGTCATCATATGTAATTTAATTCTAATATGGGCTTAAGATGAAAATAATGAGCTTCCAAATCCTGCATGTTTAAAAGGATGTATAAATCTCTTGTTTAATATTCTAAATTTTCAGTTCACTTGTACCAACATTCCTGTTGTTAACAGTCAAACAATTGCATTACATTATCCTTTTCTGACCTCTTCATGCTGACTCATTGGTTAAATTTACTACAAAAGACACCTTTCAGGCTCAAGCCTTTCAACATTGACCTCAGTCTACACAGAACCCTATAAAACAAGGAGAATCTCTTATCAGCACTGCTACCTCTTTCAATCAATCAGTTTTTCTCACTAGCCCAAACCACTATCACTCAGGAGGAACAACATTAATAGCAACAATTATGTGAAGATCACTTGTTAATTTAAGAAAATAATTAAAACGCCCTTAAATTTTAGAGGAAAACATGGACAAATACAGGAAATAATTAATAAATAAGGCTTGGTAGCTATCCAAGTAGAGGACAAAAGAGATGCATGGTACATCAAATTACATACAGTATATGGAAAGCTGTACTTATTCCATTTTGATAACTACTTTACTCATGATCTCTTCAGCATGCTCATTGACAGCTTTATCTGGAATCTACCATATTCTAGGGGTAATCTCCTTTCACATAAAGTTACTACTATCTTCTAAAACTGAAACTATTTCTAGCAAAGCAGAAGGAAATTATAGGATCAAAGCCAGCATGTTACATTAATGAAGCTTTTCATTTCTGTAAACACTTGTTTGGCTATATCATGGGACTACAGACAGCTCTTTTAACTGTCATATATTTCTGTATATTTTCACTACAAATTTACATAGGACATTGAAGGATGACAGAGAAATACTTTCATAATATGTACTATACTACAATAAACTCTCAGGATGTTCATCTGTTTAACAGCCTCAAATGACAAACCTAGTTAAATGATTTTAAAAACATATTTGCAAATTGCCAAGACAAAGCTATTAGCCTACACGCATATTAAGATTAAAATTGTGCATGTACTTTTAACACATATTTCACACAAGTCAAAATAAATGGCACTTGGAATAATATGGTTCTTTACAGAAGAAACTACAGTGACTCATTTATTACTGAGCTTTTAAAAAATTAGTATTTAATCAACATCCAGGAAAATAACTCAATAACCCAAAAAAAGTGATTGCCACCAAGTCAATTCTAACTCCTATCACTCCTACAGGACAGGGTAGAAATCCCCCTGGGGTTTCCCAGACTATAATCATTAAGGGAGCAGATAGTCTCATCATCTCCCATACACTGGCTGGTGGGTTCAAATGGCTGGCCTTGCAGTTAGCAACCCAAAGCACCAGAAATCTTAACATATGCAAGACAGCTTCAAAAGTTTGGAGAAATAGGAATTAAATGATAAAAGTCGAAATTATAAACTGTATTTTCAACAAAAATTCATATCATTGTGAATGAGGGGGAGTGTGGAGTGGGGACCCAAAGTCCATCTGTAGGCAACAGGACATCCCTTATGGAAGGGTAGGGGAACAGAGGGAGATGAGTCAGTCAGGGTGCAGTGTAGCAATGACAAGATATACAAATTTCCTCTAATTCCTAAATGCTTCCTCTTCCCCCCCACCACCACCACTATCATGATCCCAATTCTACCTTACAGATCTGGCTAGACCAGAGGATGTACACTGGTACAGATAGAAAATGAAAACACAGGGGATCCAGGACGGATGACCCCTTAAGGACCAGTGGTGACAGTGGCAATACTGGGAGGGTGGAGGGAAGGTACGGTAGAAAGGGGGAACAGATTACAGGGATCTACATATAATATCCTCCCTGGGGGACGGACAACAGAAAAGTGGGTGAAGGGAGATGTCGGACAGTGTAAGATATGACAAAATAATAATTTATACATTATCAAGGGTTCATGAGGGAGGGGGGAGGGGGAAGGGAGGGGGGAAAATGAGGAGCTAATGCCAGGAGCTTACATGGAGAAAAATGTTTTCAGAATGATGACGGTAACGAATGTACAAATGTGCTTTATACAATTGATGTATATGGATTGTGATAAGAGTTGTATGAGCCCCCAATAAAATGATTAAAAATAAATAAATCAGACCCCCCAAAAAGCCCCTGTATTTTCAACATAAGCTCCATCAAGTTCAAGAAGCATTTCTAAGTGATGGCATCAGTTATCTAGTCCTTCTCTACAGAACTGAGGTCATGACAGACTTTCATTTCCAACAGTCTCATTCCTTCTTAAACTAGATTCCATTTGTAACTGGGGACACTTCTTTGTGGCATTGTCCCATAAATGTTTCTAAAACAACAATGATTTCACCGTCCTTCCAACCAGGCTTCACCATAAATTTGACGTTTGTTCTTGCTTCAATTTTTACAGAATTTGTTTCTCTGTTGGGGCTCTCTAATGTTTTTTGTTTGTTTCTTTATTTGTTTTAATAAAATCAATCCCACAGAGGCCATTTACTGTGGTTGAGTAAGAACATAAGGGTAATGAAAATAATATGAGTGCATGTTTTAGAACTAGATTCACAACAAAGAACACTTCAAAAGGGGGGAGTGGAGGAGCTCTTGCCCTCAGCTTTTCCCTTCAACAATCATTTCTAGTTGGACACAATTTGTTGCATAGTGCTATCTCCTTTCAGCATGATCCGTCCCAGTTGTTTTCATGACTTTTAGAATGAATCTCTTCTGCATCATCTAATACAAGGTCCATGTACTCATCAAAGCCTATGACACAGCCCTCTATCCCCATATCCACTTGCTCATAGAGCCACACCTGAATCCAAGATCTGTTTTGCAAGTATCTGAAAATGAGGTTGATGGGTTGCACCATCACTTTCTGTACTGTATGGCCTTGGCCTCAGTACACCATTGTGGAAGCTCATAGAGCTAAACTAATGTTTTATCCTAATGCCTCACATACACATTTTGTAACAACTAGTCAGTTTTGTTTGGATGCAAAAAACTATTGCATAACATTAGACCTGAGAGAGAGCACTTAACTACATTACTCTAAGAATCGAGATACATAACCAGGTACAGTGCAATGAATTGCTTTAATATGGCCCTCTACCCATGTTTTTTTTAATTTTCATGGAACCAAGCAAATAAGGTGGCTATAGCCACCTAGGAATTAGACAGTTTTGCTAATGAAAATGAGATACATGGGCCCTAACAGGGATGAAACCATGCAAATAAGCTTCACAGAACCTTTATGGGGCAGGTCTTGGTCAGTTTTACCATCTACAAGCTTTTAAAGGAGTCAAGCTCAGAGGTTAGAGGGCCAACCTCACTACCACCAAGAACTGCTAAGAAATCCTAACCTTTGGACTCTGGGTCTCTGAGCTGAAAGCCACTTAAACCAAGGAAACAAAGAAAGCTATAACACTGAAGCAAGCATCGGGCAGTAGAGGCATGGGACCAACAACCAGCTACAGTGGGCTTGCCAACCATGGAGTTAGAGAGCTAAGTGCTTACTGTCAGAGCGGTTCTCTCTTTTTTTTCAATCATTTTATTGGGGGCTCGTACAACTCTTATCACAATACATACATACATCCATTGTGTCAAGCACATTTGTACATTTGTTGCCATCATCGTTTTCAAAGCATTTTCTTTTTTTTTTATAATAGTTTTATTAGGGGCTCATATGACTCTTTTTTTTTTTTTATCTTCCACAATATGATCAACTTTACTTTTCCAATCATTTCTTCAATTAGTTCTCAATTTCCTCTGGTTCATCCCAAGAGACATATTGCAAATTCAACCTCATATTTCCCAGTCTCTAAACTCATTGTATTTTTTTTTAAACATTTTATTAGGGGCTCATACAACTGTTATCCCAATCCATACACACATCAATTGTGTAAAGCGCATCACAATCCATACATACATCAATTGTGTAAAGCACATTTGTACATTCATTGCCCTCATCATTCTCAAAACATTCCCTCTCCACTTCAGCCCCCCGCCTCAGCTCATTTTTCCCCTCCCTCCTCGCTCGCCCCCTCCCTCCTCATGAGCCCTTGATAATTTATAAATTATTATTTTGTCATATCTTGCCCTGTCTGACGTCTCCCTTCACCCACTTTTCTGTTGTCCGTCCCCTAGGGAGGAGGTCACATATAGATCCTTGGTTCCCTCTACCCTCCCAGAATCGCCACTCACACCACTGGTCCTGAAGGGATCATCCGTCCTGGATTCCCTGTGTTTTCAGTTCCTATCTGTACCAGTGTACATCCTCTGGTCTAGCCAGACTTGCAAGGTAGAATTCGGATCATGGTAGTGGGGGGAGTGGGGAGAGGAAGCATTTAGCAACTAGAGGAAAGTTGTATTTTTCATCATTGCTACATCACTCGTCTCCTCCCTGAGACCCCTCTGCAAGGGGATCTCCAGTGGCCTACAAATGGGCTTTGGGTCTCCACTCCGCACTCCCCCCTCATTCACTCAGAGTGGTTCTCTAGCCACTTGTCAGCGAAGCTATAAAGCTCTGTAACAGCGCCTGAGCCAAGAGTCTAGGCCAATGAACATGGGTCTATGAATATGGCTAGAAGCATTTGTATTAATTAAAGAGCTGTATTCTCAGTTCTTCCTGTTATTTCCAAGTTGATCCCAATTCTGAATTATAGCTTATTACTTCCTTAATAAATCCCATAATCATGATGATGGTCTGTAAGTTCTGTGTAGTTACAGCAATAGATTCTGAATCCAACAGAGAAGTAAAGAGTACTAGGAAGGTACAGATAAAAGCCAGACTTGTAACAAAAAGACTGGATTAAGGAAGGAGGTCTGACATCCACTTCACAAGATTCAGCCTTGGGCGAATGCTGATCAAGATCTCCTGGCAGGCCACTTTTACACACATCGTGACCCTTCTGAAGAGATTTGGTAAATTCATGTTTGTTCTTTAACACGTGACATTTGACTTAAAAAGGTGGGGAGAGCCACAATGGGTTACTTAAAAAAAAAATACTGTCACATTTTATATTACAAAGAAACCAAAAAATTAAAAAATGACAAAGGTCGAATTTTAATTCTGCCATAGTAAAACTATTTGAGATACATTATTAGCTTTGCCTATAAACTAACTGAAACATCTCACAATCTCTTTTGTCTTAATACTTCATAAATAAGAAAGTAATTACTTGATATTTGAAAAAGTAATTACTTGATATTTAACATCTACGATTTTCTACTTTAAGATATATTCACTACTCACTTGTTTTATTTTGAAAATAAAGAGCCTTAAAATAAATTGCTTTCATTTAGCAAAATACATTATGCAAATAAACTAGGCACATTTTCAAGACTTTAATGTCAATTTCCTGATAACTGTGACAAAAATTTAGTATAGCTCAATTTTTTACAAATCAAGTGAGTTGCATATAAGGAAAATTACATACATACAACTAATCCAAGATTTCTGATTCATAATATTTAACTTTTCAGTAGCTGTTAGTGAAACTTTAGAATTTACATTCCCTAAGAAATTTAGAATTCATTTCAAATGAATTAATAGCTTAATACTGATTAAGGAGCCAAAACCAGTTGCCATCACATTGACTTCAAACTGTGCTCCATTAGGTTTTCAATGGTGAAGTGTTTCAGAAGTAAATCACCAGGCCTTTGTTCCAAAGAGCCTGAGTAGACTCAAACTTCCAATTTTATGCTTAGCAGTCAAGTGCAATAGCAGTTTACAGCAAACAGGGACTCTAGTGATTAAACAAATCATCCCCCAAAAGCTGATGTTTTATCTAAAATTGTGCAAATCCAATGATTTAAAGTATATTATCTAACATTTGTTTACATACCCGTCACAGAATCGGATCTGGAATGCTCTTCACTGTCTGAATCCTCCAGTAAGTCATCACTTAAATCAAAAGACACAGTACCAAATAATGTGAATTAAAGAACAAACGCCAGAGAGTAAAGAAAATAAGAAAATGTTACAATAAGCACTGCTATCCCAAATATCATGCAAAGTACTAAAACTAGTTGTATAATAAAAGATATATAATTACCAATTCAGGGTCATAATGATTAACGATGTTGATAATTACTTACTTTGAATCATTAACAAATTTCTCCTTCAAATTAAGGTATGGAAACCTTTGTTTAAAAAAAAATCATTTTACTGGGGGCTCTTACAGCTCTTCTAACAATCCATACATTAATTGTAACCAGTCACATTTGTGCATATGTTGGCATTATCATTTTCAAAGCATTTTCTACTTGAGTCCTTGGTATCAGCTCCTCTTTTTCCCCTCTCCCCCCAAACCTCCCACCATCGTGCACTCATTATTTTTACATCTTATACCATCTGCTGTCTCCCCTTACCGACATTTCTATTGTTCGTCCCCCCTGGGGAGTTATATGCCTATCATTGAGATCGGTCCCCCTTTCTTCCCCCCCCCTCCCCCAACCAAACTCCTGGTTATCACTACTCCCATTACTGTTCCTGAGGGATTTATCTGTCCTGGATTCCACGTGTCAAGAGCTCCTAGTTATCCCAATGTACATGCTCTGCTCTAGCCTGATTTGTACAGTAGAACTGGGGTCGAGATTGGGGTGGCATGGGCAGGGAGGGGGAGGGCATAAAGAACTAGTGCAGTGGTTTTCAATCTTCCCAATGCAGCGACCCTTTAATACAGTTCCTCATGTTGTGCTGACCCCCCAACCATAAAATTATTTTCATTGATACTTCATAACTGTAATTTTGCTACTGCTACGTATTGGGCGACCCCTGTGAAAGGGTCATTCAACCCTCAAAGGGGCCATGACCCACAGGTTGAGAACTGCTTGAACTAGATGACCATTGTGTGGGAAACCTCTTGAAATTTATAATCACATTTGTGTGGAGCTAAAGACTGTGACATACAACCAGGGATAGTTTGGGAAGGAAGGGAGCGAGGGAGGAAATGAAAGAGAAAGAAAGAATGCAAGTGCTAATAAAAGCAAGCATAAATTTTCAAGTCTAAAATTTAATGATTATGCTACTGAACTTGAATCATATGTATGCATACAGGTATGTGTATTCATAGGTATGTCAGTTTTGCTACAGGGCTATTAAAAACCTCAACCTACAGGAAATTGTTACACTTGGGAAGTTGTCAGTCAACACAACAGTCCCTCCTATGTTTTTCATTCAAGTAGCCAAGAAATGGCTCTCCTCCCTCTCTGCATCCACCTTCATCCTCAATCTCTTCACTGTTAACAGACAAGAAAAAAGATCGGTACAGGTCATAGTAGCAATGTTTGAGTTGATCTCAACTCCAGAGAAAGCTGAGGCTTTCTAGCTTTCTACTCCCATAAAGAGTCACAGTCTTGGGAATTCATAGAAGCAGTTCTATCGTGACGTATTGGGTCACTATGAGTCAGAATTGGCTCCACAACAGTGAACTTGGTTTTGAGTTTTGTATTCCACTAGCCAGTACATCTATGGGAGTTTTTTAAATTGTAAAAACCTCAGTTACAAAAAGATAAAATGTGATTTTCAGAAAGATATTTCTCCCCTATTTGAAAGAAGCATTGTTAATAATACTGCTGCTTTACTATACTGTTTAATTCTTCAGACACTACATGCCAAAGCAACGTTTAAAATGTTTTGGGGAAAAAAGTTTTCACTGAGATTCTATTGATAATTGATAAAGGTCTCTGCTGAGGAGAAATGGGCAAAAATAATTCCTAAGCTAAGTATACTGGTAGCTACTTTAAACTTCTGGGGTGAGCTTTCATTTCTCTAATCAAAAGAGTATTCTCAAACTGATGAAATTCACATACTGTATTTCAAAACAAAATATACTATATTTTGAGGGAGATAGTCAGTAGTAATCTGGCTCATTATATTCACTACTAATCCTGTAGGATTCCCGCAACCCCTGGGGCAGAGGGAGAGGAAGAAGGGTACTAGAGCAGCAGTTCTCAACCCGAGGGTCTCGCCCCTTTTGGGGCGTCGAACGACCTTTTCACAGGGGTTGCCTAAGACCATTGGAAAACACTGATATCCTATGGTTGGGGGTCACCACACATGAAGAACTGTATTACAGGGTCGAGGCATTAGGGAGGTTGATAACCCCTATACTAGAGGTTCTATCTCTTTACTTTCCCCTCCAGCAAGCCCAGCTTGAGAGTCATTTTTCTAGATGATTTATTTGACATTTCTCTTGGTACTACCGTGGAAAGATTGAAAAACTCAATAAAAATGCAGGCAGGCAGAAATTTCATCTCTTCCACCCATCTCCATATAACATCTCATTCACCATAAACATCGGATATGCATTTACTTTTAAGTGTCTATGTTTATATATCTTAAAAGTGTATCTTGATTCCTTTTTTATCCTGCAATCAACAAATTCCAAGACAATTTCATCATCTCTTACAAATTTTCTGAGAAAACCCCCAAAAATCAAAAATAAAAACCAAGCATGCTTAACGGTTTTTAGTCTTGCTGGCAAATGTATTTAAAAACTGAGATTAAAGGGGGCATTTGGTTCATCAGTCATGATCATTGGGCTTTGTATTAACTGAGAACAAACAGGAAGCACCAACGCAATCTGTTTTACACATTCGCTTCTCTACTCCTGATTTCCACAAAGCATTATTACCAAGAGGGAAGCTTCCCAACTTACATGAATATTTCATCAATAAAATTCTGTGAATGAAATATTGTATTTTTAATGAAAGTGAATAGTGGTCAGTTGATAAATCAATGACTGTAGTGTTAACATAAGGTGCCCTATAAATGAAATAGTAGATAGCCAGTATATCAGGACATCTGATCATAGATAAATAGGCTTCCTTTCATATTGATAACTTAAGAATCTTAAAAAGTGCAGCTGCTGCTATTGCTGAGTAGCATACTGCCTACTTAGAAATTTTACAAATTATGTCTGGTGGCGTAGGCCCATAACCAGAGTTTCTACAAAATCACAATTGCAAGACTCCTTAGTAAGTAAGGAGTAGGTGACACAGATTATATTCCAACTCAGGGAACTCACATGTAGCCATAGACATCAAGAACCTGGCAGAAACACTAAATGTAAGGGAATCCAGAATGGTAATTTTACCAGAAAATGTCCATGGCAATAACTATTATGCCTCAATTCATGACTGACTACTGATTAACAGATTTTAAATAACCAAGTTTTCTTATCTAATCTCAAGTCTTTTCACTATTTATTACCACTTCCAGAATGGGAGATATTAATGAAAAAATTTTTTTGTTTGTTAGGAAAATTTATTTTCTATAAATAGAAAATCTTTCGGTTCAAGAACTTTTGTAAAGCTCTAGAAAAAGAAACAGTAGGCCTTTTAGCATACCTAAAGGCCCTTTGGACTTCTTTTCCAAAGTACCCCCTTTCAGTAAACTTACTCTTTCTGCTCAAAAATAAAAATTAGGAGGAGGAGGTGAAATTAGAAATCAATCCAATGATTTCATCATTTAAACTTCACTTTAAAATGATCATGGTACACTGGCACTGACTGAGATAAAGCCCCTGGGAGTCCTGGTGGCATATGGGCTATACACTGGGCTGGTAACCACTAAGTCAGCAGTTCAACACCAGTAGCTACTCCAAGAGGAGAAGGACAAGGCTTTCTGCTCGCATCAAGATTCACAGCCTCAGAAACGCACAGAGGCAGCTCTACCCTATCCTATAAGGTGTGAGATATACATATATATACATACATATATATATATACACACATATACACATACACACACACACACACACACACATATATATATATATATCTGCCGTCCAGATGGCAGTGAGTTTGGGTGGGTTTGGGGGGTTCTGAGATGAAAAATTAGAGCGTATTTTACACCTTTAACATTTCTAAATAAACCTTTTCCCTCAAGAATCACACAAGCTCCTTCATATTTCTAACGAAGCATTTCTTCTCTGATAACCTAAACATCCTTCTGCCACCCTCATTACACTATGAAAACAAAAAATACAGAAAAGGCAATAGCTACTATAAATAACACTAAATCAATTCACATACCTATCTCCTTCTAATTTTGGTATATCTGAGCAACTAGAGGAATCTTCCAGCCATGCCAAAGTTGGTCTCCTTGAATCAACTCCTGAGGTTGGCTCTCCCGTTAAGATAAGTTGTTGCACGATTACTGGATCATATGCATTTATTTCAAACTTTAAGTGCACCTAAACAAATGAAGAAAAAAAACAAAGTTTAGCAGTCATTTTTTTCTAACTATGCTCTGCTGTTTCAGAATTAAGATATACCTTCATAAGTTTGGAAACATCCCATATGCAGATTTTTCCTCTTTTAGTTGCAGCAGCGAGAAAATGAGGGCAGCTCCCCGAACCAAAGCAAGATATTCGGTCAGTTCCATCTGTACAAGGAAACTGTGCAGGGCTAGTTGCGAGAGTCACTGACAATGGCACATTTTGTGTGTGCTCGCCTTTCACAAAGGGGCAGTTAGGTGAATGTCTCTCATGTTCAGACCTTAACACAGGTGAAGGAAAGAAACATTTATCAAACAATAGTCTACACATAAAAACACAACTGGAACAACTTTTTTAAAAAAAATAATTGTTTGCACTTAAAGATTATCTAAAACAGTTGTTCAAAAATCACAAATTTTTGCAAGACCACTCTAATGCTGACACCCACTCACTTTCACAGCAGTTGTTGATTTCTTTAATTAAGACAAAAACTCAGTCTCAGATGAAACTGAACAAGAAATGCTATAGTACAAATCATAATATACTAACATGCTAATTGTTTTCTTCACACTGTTTTCTTACAGCTTTGAAGGAATAACTATATTGTTTCACTTGAAAACTCCTCACATAATCAGTGGCCCCAAACTACATATAGTAGAAAGTGAATGATGTCACTCATATCACAAAATTATTTACAGGGTTTGTATATTAAGAACATAGAAACACAATTTATTCACTCACTGTGCAAATAACTTCTAAACAAAATTTTTTATTTTACTACTCCCCAGCGCCCCAAAAATTTCTTTTTAAATTACCTTAGAAAGGTAAAGTTCAACTTATGCACTACGTAATTCAAATACGAGCTTACGGAAGTGATAGGGGTTGTGTGTCAACTTGGCTGGGCCAGAATGACACAATAGCAACGATATCTATAAACCTATTAAAAAAACAAAGCTGTTTGATCTACCTTTTCTCAGTGGCTTGGCAGTAACACCTAGCAACCCATCATGACCTAACCTAACACAATGTAATCACAACCAAACAGTTGTAAAAAAGATTAGGATGGAGTACAACTTACCCCCTTGTTAAAATAATCAACCACTTAAGATTAATTAGAGGAGCATCTATCCATAAGCAAAGTTCAGAGTTTCAGAGAGAGAGGAATGGGAACAGAAAACACATGGATGATGGATGATAAATGATGGTACACTGAGGTAATTGCAATGGACAAGTTGAAACAAAATGTGTATGAACTGTCCAACGCAAAACTGATGATTTGCTCTGTAAACCTTCACCTAATTTATAATGCAAAGTTATTGTTGTTGTTGACTTTTAAATCACATCAGGTAAATACGTAAGCGTCAAGGTTATCTTCAGTCTTCATTCTTCCCAGCCTTACAGAGCAAAAAGGCACACATTAGCTGAGTCTTTCCATCGGGAGCACTGTCCCGCGTCCTTCAAAGGCTTCCCTCATTACTTGAGAGTTGGCGGGCAGGACAAAACAGGATTTCTGACTTCCTCATCATGTCAGGGGTACAATGAAGAAAGCTGGTATTTAAACAGTCCAAGTTGTACATATAAAGCAACTCTCTCACAGAAAACCATTTTTGAATGAAAGTGCAATCTATGATTATAGGCCCAACTATTTGGATCTTCGGTAATATTACAGAAGATACAGTTTTTCAAGTGTGGGTTAATTAACCTTCCAGGGACTAGGCTAAGAAACCAACCACAAAGTATAAACTAAAATGATAGGCATAGAGAGAAAGATGGGTTCTATAACGAAAGACAGAATTTCAAACAGAAAATCTTGTCCTGAACTGTATATTGTTCACATCTAACTCTATTTGAATTTTTAATACATTATTGTTTACTACATGCAACCCAGGGCCTTAGAACTGCATTATGCCTAATGTTGATTGCCAGCACCTGGCACCAAGTCTCCTTTCCTTATGCATAAAGAGCAATGCTAATAAACCCTGGAGGAAAACTTAGTATTTTTTTTCAATGTACACTCCAATAAGCTTTAGCAATTCATTCATATCAGCTGATGAACATTGCATTTTCAAACTAAAATAGGCATTATTTCTTCAAAACAAATTTTATAAAAACTGATTTTTTTACTGTTATCTCCAATAGCAATAATGTCTATAAATCTATAAAAAAAACTAAGGTGATTTAATCTGTCTTTTCTATCATTTCCAAGTACTGAGGAAAAAGTATTTTGTTGTTGTTGTGTTTGTTTGTTTTAAATGGATTTGTTTTCATTTTAAAAATTGTTTTATTGGCATATAATTCACATATTATACATTGTAGTCTTTCAATCATATTAAGAGGAGCTGTGAGATAATCACCACCATCAATTTTAGAACACTTTTCCCCCATGCTCATTATTCTGAGCTCCTCACTTCCTCTCATCCTCCACTGCCATACCTCTAGGTAATTATTTTTATTTGTTTGTTTTCCTAACTTTCTCTTTTAATCATTTTATTGAGGGCTCATACAGCTCCTATCACAATCCACACATTCATCCATTGTGTCAAGCACATTAGTACATTTGTTGCCATCATCATTTTCAAAACACTTTCTACTTGAGCTCTTGGTATCAGCTCATTTTTTTACCCTCCCTCCCTCATGAACCCTTGATAATTTACAAATTGTTTTTATCTTTTCATGTCTTACACTGATCGATGTCTCCACCTATTTTTCTGTTGTCCAGGGGAAAAGTAATTGATATAATCATAAAATTAGACAGTGAAAAAAAAGCAGCGTGGAATAGTGGAAATTATAATGAAGTATTAGAATGGAGTCACCATAGCAGAGAGGTTGAGAACACAAATCCTGAAGTCGCACTGCTGGGATTCAAATCCTGGTTCTATCACTCACTAGCCATTGTGTGTGACCATCTTGTTATTTTCCATCCTACAATTGGATTAATAATTCCTCTCATAGGGTACATGTAAGGTTTAAATGGAAGAACTTCCTCAGCTTCTTTGTACTAAATAAAGATGATAACAGCATTTTTCTTATAGGATTGATGTGAGAATTAAACTATATAAAGTACTTAGGATGGTATCTGGTATGAAATGTTATATATTTATTATTAACAAGGTCTCATAGTAATTATTTATATAAATGAGATTTTAATAGATTACCTCTTAATATTTTAGTTCTAAAATGTCACACAGTAAAATTCAAAGACCTGGAGATTACAGCAGTAGAAATACAAATCACCAGGCCCTCCTGCATGGGTGTTCCACTGACCTGCCCCTTAACTAAAAAGACTAAACTGTTGCCATTAAGCAGTGCTCAAGTTAATTTTAACATACATAGCCTTCTGGGTTTTCAGTCAGAGCCTGGTTCCATCTTTGGCACCTCGCTCCTCATGTACAGATTTTGGAAAGTTGGGACTCTAAGGGACACTATATTTCAAATGATGCGACAAGAGTACAGATATTCTGCACTACCTCCTTTTCAATATCAAAGGTAAACATAGGTGGCAAGACTAGTATTATATCTAGAGCTGACTAATAAAATGTGGAAGACCACTTAAGAGACACAACTTAGCCTGGTATGTCCAGAAAATCAAAAACTCACCAAGGCTCATCAGTAGGTTCCCAACAAACAAGACACACACTACAGGTAAAACACATGGCTCGATCGTCTCCAGATGACGCAGGCTGAAAAGTATAGAGAAGAGACAAAAAGGTGAATCAGCAGAGATATGAAACAAAACTCTCTTTAAAGAAGTTCATAATTTTAGATGAATTTCTAGACTGAAGGGGAAAAACCCTTTATTATTGGGTCCCAAGAGGATACTGAAAATGCACATTTACAAAATGGATTAAGTTGAAAAATGGCATTTAATCACAAAATGACCATTAAATTAACATAATGACACACAATCCCAAACTAGCATCCTCTAATTGTACTACTAAAGTATAAAATAATTAATTAAATGAAGTAGAACAGTCTAACAAGCTTATAATTGAAACCTGAATCCCCAAAAACTACCAACGTGTAAAGGAATCTCGTGAACCTAGTTAATGTGATGTAATTTTCGACAAGTCTACTTCAATTCTAAAGTTAAAGGAGCTCGTTAGATGTATACTGACATAGGTTGCTGTGCCATCGTGTGGATTCCAACGCACAGCGACCCTGGATGTGAAAGAACTGCCCCAGGGAGTTTCCGAGGCTGGGAATCTTTACAGGATTACAGGAGCAGATTACCAGATCTTTTCTCCTGCAGAGCTGCTGGTGTGTTCAATCCACTGGTCTCTCAATTAGCAGCTGGGTACAAGGTAAGCATTAATCGATTACTTACATTCCATACCAGTGGTTCAACAGTGTTAAGTCCACCTGTACTGCTTAGTTGTTTCCGACTAATTACTGTATTAAGCTTGTCTAATCCTCGTCTACCTCACTCTTACTTCAATTTAGTGAAGTTCTCCATAATTCTGTGTGTCATGCTACTCCTACTGCACCTCTTCCTCTTCTCATACACAAAACTGTGACCATTTTCCTTGGCCAATTTTTCCTCATTCCAGACAACTTCTTGATCAATTCTTTAATGCATGTCTATTAAGGATAAATGCATCATCTGAATGCTGAAAGGCTCAAACTGTCCAGATTACCTTTCTCCCACAAAGCAGCTCTCTGAATTTGGTTAACAGCCAAGCACTTCACTGTGTCACCAGGGCTCCTTATTTAGCACATAATAGTCCTATATTCCAACAAAAATTAAAATTTCAGAAGCAAATGCTGTGCATGGCCTTTATTTGAATTATCTAAGAATCTACTACTGTGTAACAAAATAAAAAAGTCAAAACTAAAAATTAACACACACTCAGCTAAACTTTCCAAAGAGCAAACTGGAGAATGCGATCTGGTGATTTAAAACAATAATAATATTTATCGAATCAGAAAGAAAATGCTCCGTTAGAAGTATTAAATAACTTAAATAGTAGCTAATTTCTAACACTTTGTATTCCATCTGACTGCACAAACATAGGAAAGAGCCAGTCAGTATTCTTTTTACCTGATGATAAAATCCAGCTTGAGCCATGGGATCTGGTTGTGCCCACCTATAGCCTACATGAGGCCATGAGGTAAATGTCTCCCTCCTGTTAGCTTCACTGTACATCAGCGACCTGAAAATAAACACAGTTTATGTAATCTAATTGTAGTGAGATTCCAACTTATCATCACAGAAGGAATTTTACTGGCTACCAACAAAAATTGTGAATGGTCTAACAATGAAGTTCAAATGATAGTTTTATTTACTGTAAAGTAAAAAGTGATCACATTTAGAAGTGTTCCTTAAACAGGCTAGGGAGAAAAAAAATTGACGGATGGCTGCAGCTGATAAACAATCCCAAGGGTAGATTAAATTGACCAACGGGTGTAAGCACCATGCAGAGGACAGAAACTCTGGTTATGGACGGAGACTTCATGCTTTCATCACATGCCAAGTTTTACATCATTGGACAGAACCACAACCAAAGGATTTTCTTAACCATATTGTGAAAGCATTTCCTAATTTAATTTTTCTTTAAGTAGAAAACAGGGTTTTCTGTTCATTATCCAGAAGCTGCCTTTTTCCAAGAATGTTGTATTCTCTAAGGTATTACAAAATAGGAAATCTTGGTGCATGTTTTCAAATTAAAATAAAATTAACTCTGGTAGTCAATCTAATCGAGACTGTGAGAGTGATTATTTAAAGGACCATAACAATATTACAAAACAGACTTCAAGTAAGAAAAGGTTTCTGAACAAAATTTACATTGATTCACGCAAAATTGCAACTGATAACAGGAAGGGGTAAAAAAATAAGAAAAATGTGATAAAGGTTCTCACAAAGAGATTAGGGAAATGTTTCTTAAACTCCCCCCTTGAATTTGTACATGATTTCTTCTAATATTGTTAAGAGTGCAGGTTTACTCAGCATTGTATTCAGGTGACTCAAATATTTACTAAGAGAAATTGTCTAACAATACTAATCCAAGGGGTAGGTTTTTTTTTTCAGTTTAGTATTGTGAGAGCAGTATAGGCAGATATGAAGTGTTAAATATATATTAAATATTTTTAATTATATAGTTTACAATTATTGGTTAATTCGACAGGTTATCAATTCGATCTCATTTTCACATAGTTCATACCTGTCTACAGAACGGCCTGGCCCTACTCCAAGTTCTGGACGTGCACTAGGTAAGAGGTAAGACAATCTGTCCATCACTGAGGACGCCACAGGTAAGGCAGCAACATTTTGATTTATTTTCTTGAGTTCATTTACAATGGCACTGGCAATGGACTTCAACACATGATGAGGAAGATGAAATGTAACTGTGGCCCACTAAGAAAAAAATCAGAGCGGAAACAAAGGAGAACTTATTCAAAAGTCTTAAACCAAAACTAGTATCTTACAAATAACCACATAAAGGGCAATTTATCAATTTAAAGTCAGTTTACTCCACTAGTTCATCATTTAAAGCACACACTTGAAGTGATGGAAAAAGTGAAACCTCTACGCTCCAGATTCCTCTCTCGGGTCTACACATTGGCCTGAGTGGTGATAAACGGAGGAAAAGTAAAACCGAAGTGTACTTGGAGTCTTTAATGACTTACAAGTTCATTTCAAACATAAAAAAAATAATAATAAGTGAATCTTCAACAAATCTATGTGAAAAAAGCTAACTTAGACCTAGATGGCAACAGTAAGCATACTAAAAGCCTCTACCATTTTTCTTATTCCTCTAGCACATATGCAGTATTATGCACCAGACACTCAAATATCTCCATTCATAAGAACATATGTGCACTGATACATTACCGGGATATATGAAGACATAGCTCTGCTTAAAAGATGCTTATTCTGTTGTTTCGTCATAATCTAAAAATAGTTACTAAAAACACAGGCACTGTAGTCCCATATACCTAGATTTGAAACCTAGTTTTACCATCAACTATGTGACCCTGATAAAATGAGCCTCGGTTTCCTATAACATGAACTCACTTACTGCCATCGAGTTGATGCCAGTAACATAGGGGAAATGGAATTATGTACATAATGTTCTTATGAGAATTCAAATGAGGTTTGGTACAGGGTTGACAGAGTAGACACTAAACAAATGTTAACCCCAACTATTTAGTATTACAATAATTACTGAAGAAATTAGATTGCAATGTAGCTAAGTACTATTCCTCCAGAGAAATAAATCTATAAAGTAATTTCCTCTCCATATCCCAGCCCTTACACACTTAGGAATGGCTTTGCTCTCTGTCTAGTACACTCCAGCATCTTATTAAATCAGTACTTAGGTATATAACTGGTAAACTAGGGCCAGAAATATGATTTAAATTGCCACCTGATTTCAAGCCCTAACCAGTTCACAGATCCCAAGGCTTCTGGGTCATAATAGAGGCCAAATCTCCCTGAGAAAAGGACCCTACAACAATGTTACAAGTATACAAAATGAATCATCCTCGAAGCTTTCCCAACGGGATTGTGGATGTTTCCTGCAGTGACCATGAATTGGAGGGGGGGAACCGACGTGTGATCTTTCCAGCATTATAAGAACTGACCTTGAACTACCCTACAACACTACTCTGAGCACAGTACAGTGGGAGGGGGAGGGCAGCTTATGATGGTCAGATAATTAATGGCACTTTAGCCCAAGATTGTCTCACATGAGTTTTGTGGGCCCATAGAGCCTTCGTAAAATGATTTCTCCGGGGCCTAAATACATAATTGGAAGAATCATAGAACTGACAAGTTAAAAAATCCTTGTACTGGCTCTGATATTCTCTGAAGACTATCAAAATAGAAAGGCCAAGTGGAAGTCCCCAGAATTTTCCTAATAAAACATTCCTGGGGAAAATTCTAAGATTAATGCCACCTTAAGAACTTGAAAAATATAGGGTGATCAGACTCTCTCATTCTCATTCCACTGACCTATTGGGCCTCTGTGGAAGATAAATAGAAATTGAAGAATGACTGTAGATTATTATAAACTATCAATAGTGGTTAATACCATTGTTGCTCCTTTCTAGAAGAAATATTTTTGTTAAAGCAAATAACACATCTCCTGGTACCTCATAGGCAATAACAACTCCACAAAATACTTTTTTTCTCTCTCTAATGTTTAAGGATCACCCACAAAATCAATCTTTTACCAAGAAGGGTCAAAAATAAATGTTCAGACTTATCTTAAGTCTGTTTCTCACATTCTTTACCATGCCTAGTCTGCAATGATCTTGATCATCCTAACATCCTGCAGATACTTTCTGGTCCCTTAGCATCATACTAAATGGTCCAGAAGAGGTGCAAGCAGCAAGGAATTTAAATTAAAACAATATTTAGGGGGGAGGGGGGATCATGGAGAGGGGATGTGGGCCAAAGGGCATCAATAATTCACACAAAAATTCATACTACGACAACCTCTGAGTAAAGAATCCTGACTAGTTGGGTGTGCTAGAAAAGGACAGAGAGATCCAGAAAACCCACCCTTACAGAGGAACCATCACTCTCTCACTCAACATGTTTGCACTAAATCTAACCATATGGAAAGTTTTTCTTCTCTATAACCTTTTACTCACAAAATTAAATATAAAGTAAGATTTTTCTTTTTGGGTTAAAAAAAAAAGGGCAAAGAGATATGAAATAGGTAATAGAAGAAAGCCATAGATACCAACTACAGCCTCTTCACCATTGTAGCATGGAGAACTGCAACAGCTGTTTCCTACTTTCTAATTACATAAATTAGATAGGTATGGATTTAGTAGATATACATTTAAAAAAAACAAAGAAATACATACAAACTTCTAATTTTAAGTAAGAATTTTTGGTGGTAGTTAATACCCAAACAATTGAGACTAATACTAAATACTAATTATAACTGTTAGAACTTTTGTGTATTCCCCTTTCTGGGAAAGAGAATCTTTATGTGTAAAAAAAGAGCAAAGAGTCTTATTAACCGAAAGCATACTATTTTTATTGCATGAAAGTTTATATAAGTATAGAAGATGTGTATGAAGACGTTGATGAGTCAAAAGAGTAGACGTCAGTTATTAAACTATTGTCTCTAAGCTCTAAACCTACTCTAAATCTTTGCTGTATAATACGGGGTATGGGAATCTGCAAGTTATCTTTCTTTGCCAACTAGTTTCTCATGCAGATTTAGCCTGTCCTAGAGGGTCACTATGTGTAAGAATCAACTCAACAGCACTGGATCTGGTTTGGGGTGAGATCTTCAAAAGCAGTTGTAGATCAACTGTCTTCCAAGGGGCCTCTGGGTGGGTTTGAACTGATACTCCTCATATTAATTGAGTGCTTGACTTCTTGTGCCACCCAGGGATTCCTGCAGCAGCTTTATGAGCACAGTATGCAAAACATTCCTGCAAATTAAGATTCCTCAGTAAAAATAGTTTAACTTTGAAATGGCTAACAAGCACAGCATTGTTTTATTTAAAGAAATATGTAGAAAAGTTTAGAACCACAACACGCAGAAAAGAAGAGATGCTCTTTTATAACTCCAAAACAAAGTTAGTTGTTTTTGTTTTAAACTTCTTACCTTTGCAACTTTGTGGTTCGCAGCAGTCTCGTGAGATGTATTTTTTAGACCATCTTTGAGCTGTGTGATGAACAAATCATAACCCTCTGTACTAGAAATATCTACCTTCTCTAAACATGCTGACAAAAGCTGCTGTGCCTAAAAGTCAAACAGAAAATTAAACCACATATTGAATCGCAGATTATTTTCATTTGTAATGGTTCGGGCAAGTTCTAAAATGAAATTTACCAACTTTTACTTTGGGGAAATAACTAACAATAATGAATCAAGAATTTTTTTATTAAAAGAAGTAAGGCAACACATGGTACAGTGCTATATAATCAACTTTTAATATACAGTAGTCATTAATAAGTCTAATTAAGGGATTAAAACTGGACAAGCTGAAGCTATGAGCAAAAATGAAAAAGACAAAAAGTATAAAAGATGAAATCAATGTAAAGTCCTTCCAAACTACGTAGCAAGGCAATATGAGGGGACACATACTAGGTCAACTGGTAAAATATTTAAAAACCCTCTATTAACTACATATTCACAATAAACTACCTTAATAGAAATTAAAAGGGTTTCAAAAAGAAGGTGAAAAAATTCCATTCTCTTTCAATTCCATTTTCACAAGAACTTTTTGAATGTCCTATATATATATATAGCTTACATCAGGAAATAATAAATCTACACTCACCAAAGCATGATAAGGATCCCATACTTTACATAGGGCAGTGCAAATTTACGTGGGGAAATAAAGGGTGTCAGGGTCTACAAACAAGATTATGTGCACAACAATGAGAACTGTGATTATTTAAGTGAAAAGGCAGAAAGCCAGCAAGGTAAGGAAGGAGGGGCAGACGCCACCACAATACACCCATATAGCACTTCAGTTAGTGTAGCAGGAAAAATACTGATTCGAGTCTGTTTAATATAAATGTACAAGTACTGACTGTAATTCTGTAATTCTGAACCTAGCTTGATATACCTTTCTTTTACTATACAACACACCTTTTATTAAGATATTGCTGGTGTATATTCCTTAAATTAGGCAATTAAAAGATGTTTATTTTAGAAGTAGAATTAACTCTCTGTTGAAAGATTTCAAGACATGCCTCCAGATATACCCTTAGTAACAAAAAATATGGCTACTCTGTTTTGAGAATTTCAATTTCTAGTAACACGCTTTCAGTATTAACATATAGCAGACTTCTCAAATATTAAGCTAAATAAGATATCCAAATAGATATATTTTTGGCATCTTTTTTTTAAGTGTATCAAAAAGAATAATGCACTTAAAATTTACAAGGAGACTTCATACCCTAAAAATAGGAAATATACTATATTGATTTTTATCAACTAAGTATAACAATCACCAAATGTAAAACATTAACTTGGTATGAAGAGCAAAAACAAATCTGACCATTTTGCTAAATAATGTCTTACTGTATTAATAGTCTTATTTATAATCTTCTGTGATCTCCTTTAAATGATTACAAATCCAATCACTGACATTTCAAAGGATATGACTGTCAACTCAAAATCAAAAGAATCTAAATGGGGATAGACTTAACAATTAATAATGGACAGTCAATATTACATAACAATATATAAGGTTAAAGTTTTAAACTGGAATTATTCAGAAACAGACAAGCTTCACAGTAAAAATTGAAGATTGTAATAGTAATATTTATTCCTCTCTTTCCTAGTTTCCCTCTCAACTTTGTATGGGCATGTGACTAAGTCCTAGCAAGAGTGTAAATGTCAGAAAAGTGTGTGTGGGATAGAAAAATAAGAAAGTTGAAGAAAGAATGTGAGGAGGGAGAGACCACACAAATGCATGCACAAAATAAGCTCTCCAGGCCTTAATCTTGCCCTCTTTCCTTACAACTGTGAGATATGCTGCCTGGAGAAGGATAGCAAAGCTGCCCCTACAGGTACTTAGCCCCGAGCTGTTCCTGGTAAGAAAAAACTGTTGTTTAAGTGACTGTACTTGGGGGGTCTTATCTGTTACAACTGCTTAACCTGTACTGATGAACAACTGAGACTTAAAATACCACTTCATTAAGCACCAATTAATAATGTACTGCAAAAACAAATATTTAAACAAAGATGTGTCCAATACATTAATTGTTGGTTTTTACACAGGTGCATATACAGCATACCCAAAGAGCAGTCAATTTCACTTAATAACTACTAGGTTTGAGATAACATTAAATCAAGGTATACAACGATATTTATCTCAACCTACCTCTGTAACAGGTAATTCAAGCTGAACCTCATCATCCTGCTTTGAAACTGGAGTTTGCAGAGCAGTGTCTAACAGCAAGATTCCATTAAGGTCCTTCCTACACCCTACTGCATAATCATCCACAAATATAACTTTATCCACAGCAGATATATACTGGCACTTCACTTGTCCACCTGGTTTAGCTGTCAAAAACAAAACAAAAAATCAATAGTTACCATTTAAATACCAATCATTTGTTTAAAATATTTACATGACAATAAAATGCATAATCCTGAATTGATTATACATTGTTTTAAAAACTGCTATCAAGAAAAGAAAAAAAAGAATAAAATTAAAACTGCTATCAAGAACATCACTGGAATGTTAAAACAGGAAAAAATACCACGGGTTAAAGTATCTTATCAGTGTGAAATATCAGCATTTTGTAATTACACTGCTGCCCTTAGAAAGTACATACGAAAACAGATTAAAAAGAGGTGAGACACATGTAACTTAGTCTCAAATAATAAAATAATGAACCAGAGTTTCAAAGTCAGAGGAAAATTTCTATTATCTTTTCATTCCATTTTTCCAAAAGCTTTTTGAAGCCCCTTTGTATACATATGTATGGAATGAAAAGCAAATATCCTGAAATGTGGCAGATCTGGGGAAGTTCTTTGAACTGTACTTTCATTACAACTTATTCAGAGCAAAACTTTAAAAACTAATTATTTTTCCTTTTAATTTTTGTCGATAAGCGACAAGCTAGTAGAGATAGTAACTCAATAATTACCTCACAGGTTCTTTTTTTTT